CACCCTCTGATGGAGGAGGCTGTGGCTTGTGGAAGCTTCCTGATGGCAGAGACTGGAGGCGGGAAAAACTGGGCCTTGCTCTGTGGGCAGGGCCTGGCTTAGTAAAGCTTTGATCCAGGTCGCTGATGGGTGGGGCTGCACTCCCTCCCTGGTGGCTGTTTGGCCCTGGGCTCTGTAGTAGAGTTAGTGATGAACTCTGGGAGGGCTCCCGCCGAGGGGGCTCCTGGACTGCCGCTGCCAGCGCCCCCGTCCCTGTGGCGAGCCCCTGCCCACCCACGCTCCACAGGAGACCCTCCAACACCAGCGGGCAGTTTCGGTTCAGTCTCCTCTCCTCTGGGTCTTGGTGTGGGCAAGATTTTGTTTGTGCCTTCCAAGACTGGAGTCTGTTTGCCCCAGTCCTGTGGGAGTCCTGTAATCAAATGCCGCTGGCCTTCAAGGTCAGATTCCCTGGAGATTATAGCCCCTTTGTCGAATCCCCAGGCTGGGAAGTGTGACTTGGGGTTCAGAACCTTCACAGCAGTGCAAGAACTTCTTTGGTATTACTGTTCTCCAGTCTGTGGGTCACCCACCCGGCAGGTGTAGGATTTGATTTTTTCGTGATTGTGCCTGTCCTACCGTTTTGCTGCAGCTTCTTTGTCCGTGGGGTAGCTTTTTTTTTGGTGAGTTCCAGTTCCTCCTCGCTGTGGTGGTTCGACACCTAGTTGCAATTTTGGTGCTCTTGCAGGAGGAGATGAGCGCATGTCCTTCTCCGCCATCTTGAACCGGAAGCCCCTAACTATAAGCTTTTTAACTCCCTGCTCCAGGTCTTCAAAGTTTTCCAAAATTCCTTACTCGTGAGTTGTTTCTCTCATCCCATAGACGGTGTGTCTTTCTGGGAAAAGTGGTTGGTGATGCTGTTAGTGTCACCAACTGGTTTTGGCTGGAGGATGTAAAACTATACTCTGATATTGCAAAAGATTTTTTAAAAATATTCTTTATTGCTTTCTTTTTCAGCCTTCCCACAATGAACATGTATTATATTGATAATTGATAAATAAACAAAAGTGTCTTTTTTTCTGCTGCAACACCTGGCATGTGGGATCTCTAACCAGGGGTTGAATTTCAATTGAAATCAGGGGGCTGATTGCAGAAGGAAGCTGGGAGGTGAGGGGGCCCTGCTTCCTCCTGGCCTCTGTCTTTTGAGTTCGGCATCAGGTCACAGAGACCCCAGGTGAGCTCAGCCTGTGCTTTTCAAACCTTAACTCCTTGTGACATTTTTGCCTGATGGAGCAGGAGCGGTTTTTTGAGAAAACACTTTTCTCTTCAGGAGGCCGTTCTTCATCTGTGTCCCGCTGCAGGCCGTGACCCCAGTTTCCCAGGCCACTCTTGAGGGGGTGGAGGTTGAGCAAAGTGGCCATTGCCTCTCCTGTCCCCGATGGATGGCAGGTTGCCGTCAGTTAGTCCCTTAGCCCATTTAAAAAATAACATCTGTGGGACTTCCCTGGTGGTCTGGTGGTTCAGAATCCACACTTCCACTGCAGGGACATGGGTTTGATACCTGGTTAGAGATCCCACATGCCAGGTGTTGCAGCAGAAAAAAGACATTTTGTTTGTTTGTATCAGTTATTAACGTAATACATGTTCATTGTGGGAAGGCTGAAAAAGAATAAAGAATATTTTTTAAAAATCCTTTTGCAGTTATCAGAGTATAGTTCTATGCCCTCCAGCCAAAACCAGGAGCATGTTTGTAGTCAAAAGTTGAGTTTGTTTCGTTGATACATTGAGGGAGAACTGTGAGGTGACTCAGGAGATTCTGGCTTGCAGTGGGTGATTTTGGGGAGAAATCAGGGCAATGGGGCTTCACTTTGTGTTGAATGCTGTCAGGAAATAGGGATAATTCTGTGATTGGGTCTCAGTAATTCCTCCCTTCAAGGTGGGAAGGATGGAATGGGGCTCGGGCTCTAATTGGGAAGGAAGCAGCCGTGACTCCTGCTGGTCATTTTTGGGGGACAGTGTTTTTGTTCGTGTTCACACATAATCATGGAGAAGCCTTGCTTGGATCTTGATCCGTCCACCACCAAGGGGCCTTGTCTGGTGGTGATGGGCTGCAGCCTCAGCGTGCATGCCAGGCAGCTGCTGGCCATCAGGGGCTGCCTTCTCAGCGCTGAACCCCAGGTTCAGTAAAGACCCAGCCACTCTCGGACACTTCTCCAGCTGTAAAATTTTACCTGTCCAAGAAAGTTTTCTACTGGGAGTTCGGCATTAGCTGATATAAACTATTTTATCAGTTCAGTTCAGTCGTTCAGTTGTGCCAGCTCTTTGCGACCCCATGGACTACAGCATGCCAGGCTTCCCTGTCTATCGCCAACTCTCAGAGTTTACTCAAACTCATGTCCATCGAGTCAGTGATGCCACCCAACCATCTCATCCTCTGTCATCCCCTTCTCCTCCTCCTTTAGTCTTTGTCAGCATCAGGGTTTTTTCCAATGAGTTGGCTCTTTGCATCAGGTGGCCAAAGTATTGGAGTTTCAGCATCTGTCCTTCGATGAATATTCAGGACTGATTTCTTTTAGGATGGACTGGGTTGGATCTCCTCGCAGTCCAAGGGACTCTCAAGAGTCTTCTCTAGCACCACAGTTCAAAAGCATCATTTCTTCGGCATTCAGCTTTCTTTATGGTCCAACTCTCACATTCATACGTGTTTACTGGAAAAACCATGGCTTTGACTATATGGACCTTTATCGGCAAAGTAATGTCTCTGCTTTTTAATATGCTCTCTAGGTTTGTCATAGCTTTTCTTTCCAAGGAGCAAGCGTCTTTTAATTTGATGGCTGCAGTCACCATCCGCAGTGATTTTGGAGCCCAAGAAAATAAAGTCTGTCACGGTTTCCATTGTTTCCCCATCTATTTGCCAGAAGTGATGGGACTGGATGCCACAATCTTCGGTTTTTGAATGTTGAGTTTTAAGCCAGCTTTTTCGCTCTCCTCTTTCACTTTCATCAAGAGGCTGTTTAGTTCCTCTTCATTTTCTGCCATAAGGGTGATGTCATCTGCATATCTGAAGTTATTGATATTTCTCCTGGCAATCTTGAATCCAGCCTGTGCTTCATCCAGTGCAGCATTTCGTATGATGTACTCTGCATATAAGTTAAATAAGCAGGATGACAGTATACAACCTTGACATACTCCTTTCCTGATTTGTAAGCAGTCTGTTGTTCAACGTCTGGTTCTAACTGTAGCTTCTTGACCTGCATACAGATTTCTCAGGAGGCAGGTAAGGTGTTCTGGTATTCCCATCTCTTCAAGAATTTTCCCCAGTTTGTTGTGACCCACACAGTCACAGGTTTTAGCATAGTCAGTGAAGCAGAAGTAGATGTTTTTCTGAAATTCTCCTGCCAGCAGATGTTGGCAATTTGATCTCTGGTTCCTCTGCCTTTTCTAAATCCTTCTGGAGTTGATGGATTGAACATCTGGAGTTCTCAGTTCACATATTGTTGAAGCCTGGCTTGGAGAAGATGAGTGCAATTGTGCGGTAGTTTGAACATTCTTTGACATTGCCTTTCTTTGGGATTGGAACGAAAACTGGCCTTTTCCAGTCCCGTGGCCCCTGCTGACTTCTCCAAATTTGCTGGCATATTGAGTGCAGCACTTTCACAATATCTTCTTTTAGGATTTGAAATAGCTCAACTGGAATTCCATCACCTCCATGAGCTCTGTTCGTAGCGATGCTTCCTAAGGCCCGCTTGACTATCATGTAGAGGCTGGATGAGCAGCATGTTCTGACTGTGGAGCACAGGGAACCGTCATGAAAAGAGAGTTAAAGACGGTCTGTGTGTGTGACCGCGTCAGCGCTGTGCCGCAGAGGCGGGCGCAACATTGTAAATCAACTGTAGTTCAATACAGATACAGTCAAATTTTATAAATAGTTCGGAGTACATGCATACCAGGTTCCAGTCTCCTTTTCGTCCGTCTGCTTAGATCAGATGCGGCATCCGTTTCCACGACTTGAGATGTACTCAGTCGCCAGCAGGGCTCTTAGAGAGACTCGGTGGATCGTGCTCTCTCGGGTGACGCTAGTGCAGGAAGCCTCTAATTTTGCAGTAACTGGCTTCCCCGCATCTTTGTTTTTCATTGAGTCCTTGGAAACACTTTTTCCCTGGAGGGGAATGGTAGTTGAGATCACACTCAGTTTCTTAAAAGCTTGTTTCATGGGTAATTCAGCTGAAAGGTGTCACTTTCAGCTGTTGCGTGGTGAGTGGCAATAAGGGGACAGAGACCCAGGTAGTGCTTTTAGCCGCTTTAGGATATAGCCAGGGTGTCCATTTAGTTATATCAGCAGTAGGCACAAAGGAACTCCTTGTAATGCAGGACTCAGTGGTAAACTCAAATCTGCAGGGTCAACAGGTGAAGCCACTGTGTGAGCCCAGCTGTCTGTGTGGAGTTTGGGGTCAGTTGGGGGCTGCATACACCTGCCCTGGGGGGCAGCCGGCACCCCAGCTCACACCACGCGTTCCCCTGCTGGTGTCGCTGGTCTCTTGATTTTTTTTGTTTTCGTTACGCCAGGTCTCTGTTGCCATCTGGGCTTTTCTCTCGTTGTGGCAAGCAGGGCCTACTCTGGTTGTGGTGTAAGCCAAGGCGGTGACTTCTCTTGTTGCAGAGCACAGGCTCTAGGTGTGCAGGCTCAGTCATTGCCGCTCCCAGGCTTAGCTGCTCCATGGCAAGTGGGATCCTCCTGGCCCAGGGATCAAACCTGCGTCTCCTGCGTTGGCAGGCAGATTCTTTACCCCTGAACCACCAGGGAAGGCCTGGCCTCTGATTTTAAGAGAAGGCAGAAATCCAGGTTTTCCTCTGAACTCTTCCTGAGCCGTAAAGACAGGGAGTGAACTGTTCTCAGGTCAGGACACACTGGGACTAAGTAGGACTCATCTGGAGCCCAGCCACAGCCCACTGGTTGAGGAAAGGAAATCTGGCCTGGTGCGCGGACCCTGCTAACCCTGCTTCTTGTCCCCCGGCAGGAAGAGATGTCAGGAGAAAGTGTGGTGAGCTCAGCGGTGCCGGCGGCTGCGACCCGCACCACCTCCTTCAAGGGCACGAGCCCCAGCTCCAAGTACGTGAAGCTGAACGTGGGTGGGGGCCTGTACTACACCACCATGCAGACGCTGACCAAGCAGGACACCATGCTGAAGGCCATGTTCAGCGGGCGCATGGAGGTGCTCACGGACAGTGAAGGTAAGCCCAGCGCCCCGGGCCGGGGCTGTGCTGCTGGTCGAGGGCTCCCTTCCAGTTCAGCAAAGCGACACAGAACCACCTCGGGTTTCCTGTTGTGCTCAGTATTACCGGACATGGAGGGAGCCTTGAGTGTGAGTAATGGAGACCACATCTATTTGGGGTGTGGTCAAGGAGGGCTTCTCTGAGGAGGTGACACCTAAGCTCAGACCTGAAGATGACTGAGTTGGCCCTGGGGGTTGCGGTTGGTGGGATGTCGGTGGGGTCATAGTCTCCACTTGGCTGTTGGCTTGCTGTGACTTTGAGAATGTCACTCACCTGCCCCCAGGCCTCAGCTCTCTGCAGCGGACACTGGACTGGCTCCCCTGGTTGCCTTCCTTCCCATTCTCTCCGTGATGATCCTGTGATCTCAGAGTGAGACTCAGGTGTGACAGAGGCAGGAGCGTCTGCTCGGGACCCTTGTCCTTCTAGGATAGGACCTGTCAAGGACTCACAGACCTGAATTGGGGTCGCAGTTCCCCGTTCTTATGTCTGGTGATCCTCCTCAAGTTGTTTAATCTGTTGACATCTCATTTCCCCATCTGGTAAGTGGGCACAGTGACACCCACTCCCTGGGGCTGTTGGTCCATAGGAAGTGTTCAGTATATGTGCATTCAGTGTGTGGTTTTTTTGTTAATCGTGGAAAGTCCTATTAATACAAGGTAAAGAATTGCATACAGTGGTCCTACTTCCCACCCACGGGGAATGCTCAGAACCCTGCAAGAGGGAGCATCCTTCTCTGACTGGTTTTATGGGGGAAGGTGGCATGGTTGAAAGATGGCCCTGTCTTTTGTTGCTTGGCCTGAGCTTGCTTGAGACCAGGCTAAAGCCTGCCTTGACCTCACCTTCCCTGTTTCTGAGGCTGGCCTCTGTGCTGATGCCCCTGCCTCTCTCGGGATGGTAGTACCTGGGAAAGGGGCAAGTTTTGACCCTGGGGGTGGGATTGGGGGCCGTGGGCCCGGTGTGCACAGTGTGTTCTCAGATCCTAAGAGAGCATATCCTTGGGCTGTCCGCCATGGGAGCGTCTCCCTGTGTCCTGGAGAAGCCAGTCTGAAGGGCCTGAAGTCCCACTTCCCCGGGCTCCCGGTGACCTTGGGTTTCTGGCCCAGCAGCAGGCGAGTGAGGTCAGAGCCCCAGAGCTGCCTCCGCGCCGCACCCAGAAAACACAGAGCTTCTTAGAAGTGGGAGGGTCCCCTCTGCTGGGCCACACCCAGCAGTGCGGGAGTGTTTGTGGAAATCAAGACAATAGTGCCCCAGCTGCTGAAGGAAACAGACCTTATCTGAGAGGCCAGAATCCTTGTGGCTTTACTTCCGCCCTGCCCAGTCCCTGGCGGGGCTCAGGAAAAGTACCCGAGTCGCTTCAGAAGCCAAGTGGGAGCCTCGTCTCCCTGAAGGGCCCTCACTTTTCATGTCACAAAGGAGACGCAGTCTGTGAGCTTTCCCGCCCCCAGCTGGGAGACTCCCGGGAGTGGAAGCAGCAGGCCTGCGTGGGCTTCTCAACAGCTGCCAGACTGTGTGCTTGCCTGGGGCTTCCTGGAAAGCCCAGCATCCCCAGGGAAGGAGTGTGGGCTTGAATATGCCAAACCACAGCTGTTTTCACTTCACAGGAGCTGGCACAGGAGCGCCAGCCCCCTTCCAGCCATTAGGAAAAGCTCACAGTATGGCCTTTTTGGGTCTTTGTTACATTAAAGTCTCACCTTAACCCTTTGAGGGGTGGCTGCTGCTGTTACTGATTAGTGAGAAACCCATTCCCTGATGGCTCAGATGGTAAAGAATCTGCCTGCAGTGTGGGGAACCTGGGTTTGATCCCTGGGTCGGGAAGATCTCTTGGAGGAAGGCATGGCAACCCGCTCCAGTGTTCTTGCCTGGAGAATCCCATGGACAGAGGAGCCTGGTGGGCAGTCCTTGGGGTCGCACAGGGTCGGACATGCACACACATCTCAGAGAGGTGAGAGGCTTTTTCAAAAGCTACAGAGATGGAAGCGAGGCTACTGAGGCAGAACTGGCTAGCTCTTACTGTCTGCTTTGTGTGGTTTGGTGTGGGCTCAGCCCTCAGGCCGGGGCGCCCGAGTGTGGCAGCCTTGTGGCCCAACCACTGGCTTAGAACCGAAGCCCTTTCAGGCCTGCGACGTCAGGCTGGGTGTCTGGTCCTCCAGTCAGCACTGTGCTGGCAGGGCAATCCTGTTAGCCCCTGGGGAGACATTGCACAGCCCCACCCATGGCCTGAGTACTCTGTCAAATCCGCAAAACAGGGTAGACTTTCTGCATCTCACAGCTTCATCCTGGCCTTCAGGTGGGAATGCTGTCGGTGACAATGAAGTGTGCTACAAACAGCTGGGCATAGCCAACAGGACAGCTTGCTGGTTAAGGAACAAGGGTCCTGAAGGTCCCAAACTCTGCATTTTGTTGGTAGAAATCACCACAGGATACCTGAGAATCTGGTTGCTTTGGGGGAGGGGACCCGGGGTCCTGGGTGGGTGGCAGACTCTCTTGCACTCCATGCCCTTCTGCCTGAGTGAGTTATATATCATGTGGGTTGGGAAGATCCCCTGGAGGAGGGCATGGCAACCCATTCTAGTTTTCTTGCCAGGAGAATCCCATGGGCAGAGGAGCCTGGAAGGCTACGGGCCACAGGGTTGCGCCAGGTCGGACCCAGATGTGACTGAGCACAGCACAGTGTCAGTAAGGACTTCCTTGGTGGTCCGGTGGTTAAAAGCCTACCTTCAGTGCTGGGCACAGGGGTTCAACCTCCTCAGCAGGGCACTAAGGTCCCACATGCCACGGGGAAGCTAACCCATGCTGCAATAGGAGAAGCCCACAAGCCACAACTAGAGAGAAAGCCTGTGTGCTGCAGCGAAGGCCCAGTGCAGCCAAAAAACCCAAAGTGTCAGGAGTGCTGAGGCAGAGAAACCCTGCCCTGGAGATCACGATTCAGGAAGGAGGCCACTTCCAAGAGTCTGTTTGGAACAGGGACTCAAGTACCTAGGCACGTTTGTGATCCTAAAGATCTACCCTAGTGTGGCAGAGGAGGGGTCGGTGAAAGCTTCCTGGAGGAGGTGGGGGAGGGAAGGAGAGAGGAAGTATGTGGTCTGCTGTCCCCGACCCTAAGCGGAGCCTCCTCCCAGGCTCCCCGGAAGCCACGCAGACCGCCGTCCCCAGTCCCGAGGACCTGTATTCAGGGCTCACCGTCAGAGACCTGATTGGAGTGCTGCCAGTAGACCCGGCTTTGTGCTCCGAGCCTCCTGTACGTTCTCTCGCCTCTGTGCCGGCGCAGGGCCGTTTTTAGAACGGGAAACTGCCCGACCAAGAGCTTAAGTGCAGTGCCGACGTCATCCAGCAGGAGAGCGCAGAGCTGGGTTTCCAGCAGAAGCCCACGCTGGGTGCGTCTCTCAGCCCATCCGTCTGAAATCCTCCGGGTCTGCACCCCTCACCCGTCTTTCCAGCCCTGCCCAAGGGGTTGGGGGACTGCAGGTCATCCTGACCTGGCTTGGCCTCTCTTAGCTTATCTACATGCTAGGGACCAGAGCTGACCGTTTCAAAGGGATCAATTCCTGCTCTGAAAGCAGCAAAAATATTTTTGAAGCCAAAACGCTAATTGAAACCTCATGGAGAGCGAGCCTGGCTCTCCTTTTTTTTTTTTGCCCTTATTTGTGCAAAGTATGATTCCTTCGCCACAAGCATTTCCTAGCAGCATTCTTGAGCCAGAGCCCAGTGTCACGGTTGGTCCGCCTGTTGGTTTATGGAGACTCTGGATTGTCACTCGGGTAATTGATTTCAGGGGCCCTCGCTCTTAGCAGCTGAGTCGTCCACGCAGTGAAGGCAGGGGAGGACATTTTCTTCCCGGAGCAGCTGAGTGGAACTGGTTGCCATTTCTCCCAAAGCCCAAGGTTCTGCATGACCCCTCAATTCTGGACAATGAAAGGAGGCTTCCTGCGAGTTTCTCGCTTGTTCTCTGTGGTTTAGTGCTGCCTCCCCTAGCAGATGTCCCTGAACCTCTCTGAGCCTCTCGTTTTATCTGTGGGAAATGTAGGAGAGCAAGCATTTCTCATCAAGAACTGGTGGGAAGGTAATGCGGTCTTGGCATACTGTGTCAGCTCATTGGAAGGTGGGCACTTGAGCTACAGTAACACAGGTCACAAGCTGGTGGCCTGCAGGCCCTGTTTTGGCTGCCCTGTGGTGGGTTGGTAACAGGCTTACAGCTAGTTTTGTTGTTCAGTCACTAAGTCATGTCCGAACTCTTTGAGACCCCCGAGTTTGCTCTAACTCATGTCCATTGAGTCACTGATGTTACCTAATTGTCTCATCCTCTGCTGCCCCCTTCTGCTCTTGCCCTCAGTCTTTCCCAGCATCAGGATCTTTTCCAGTGAATCAGCTCTTCAGTTTACTGAAAAATCAGGAGATTTCACAGGGAAATCTGCATTTTTGGCTTCTCCTGGAGTATCGGGGCCCTCAGCCCTGGGCTTCATTCCCACCTGGCCACTCTAGGCTGGAGTGGGAGGAGCTCCCTCTGGGGGGCGGGGCCTGTGCTCTTATTGGCCCCGCCCATACACACTCAGTGTTCCTGTTTGCTCAAGGATCTGAGCTGCAGGACAGACCCTGAGCCTGTTCTGTGTTGTCTCCGCTGGAGAAAGGAGTAATAGCATCAGCGGGCACCAGCAAGGTGATGGGACTCACCACCGCGTGAAGGCCTCATCCTTCCTTGGATCCAGGGCCCCACCTTTGCTTTGCATTTGCTGAGACTGGGGATAAGCTTCTCACTGTGCTCAGGAAACCAGAGCCTGTGGAAGGCTCTGGAGGACGAGACCAATCTGTAACCAAAGGCCCGGGAACCGTGGGCTGAGGAATAGTTGCTCGGGAGCGTGGAAATAGCCTTGTCAGCATTCCTGGTGATGGTGATAGGCACCGCCAACTCATGCCCTAGAGCACCCATGCACCCTTGGTAGTGCTGGGTTTGGGACAGGTGGGCTGACTTGCCGCTCTGGATGTGGAAAGTTGCCTTCGTTGACCTTTGCTGATCCAGGGCTTGGGTCTGAGGAGGATTCGGGGAGGACATAGTGGTCTTAGGAGTGGAAACCTGGCGCTTTTCCCAGACTGAGAGCAAGCAGAGGCAGTGTGACTGATTGCTGTGTAAACCTCCTGGCTGCCCTGGGCGCTGACGTTTTCTCTCCTGCAGCATGCAGCAGGAGACGGGGGGGGTCCCCCTTCCTGGGGTGATCCCACAGGTTGGGAAGGCCCGGACCCCTCCATTTGTCTGGCTTCACATTTTCTCTCAAGACATGCTTGGTCTTACTTCCATTTCTGGTACCTCCTTCTCCTCTTCCCAGGCCCTAGTCCGCTTTCCCCCTCCCAATAGCATGTACATTTCAGCCGAGGAATCCTGAGAAGCATGGCTTTTAGTGGAGGAGAAGCGGGCACCGCAGGCCATTACGGGATTGAAGATTGGAGAGGGTGCTGATAAGCGGGAGGGCTTGCCTTGTCCTGCCCTCACCCCCAAGGCACAGTTTTGCACCATGCCTGCTTCCGGTCAGCAGCTGGCAGCCATTTCCATGTCTCGTAAATGTTAGCGCCATCTCCCCAGGTCAGGCTGAACCACTCGAGGGCAGGGTCTGTCTGGTCACCACCATATCTCAGATCCCTATATGCCTTGTGTGGGGTCACAGATGGAATTTTCTTCTGGTGGTGCTGGTGAGTGCCTGGGGGGCACCCTTGGGAGCCAGATGTCACAGCCTGTGGGCAGTGAGCCTTCTGCTTCCTTAGAAATGGCTCCGTTGTGTGGGAGTCTGAAAAAAATATTGTTGAAAAAGAGAGTGGACGTTTTCAGCCCAGAAGCCTTTCCACCGTCCATGGGCTGTGGTCGTTGGGACCCCATTTTTACCCAGATGTGGGGCATTAGGCCCTCTTGGGATGCACTTGACAAAGGGATTTTTGAGGCAGCTTAGAAACACACTTTGGGGACACAGGGGCCCTGCTCCTGGAAGAGCCCAAGACCAATGAGTCTGGGTGCAGTGTCTGCAGCCAGCAGGGCCCGTAGGCCATGGCGGTGCTGCCAGGCAGGGCCTCTGTCAGCCCTTTGCTGGGAGCTTGGCGGGTGAGGCCACCGCCCTCTTTGTGGTCCTGCGTTCCCCAGGAGGTGGACGGAACCAAGAGCCACCCCATTCCCCTCAGGGCCTTCCAGGAAAGGCATGCCCAGGTGATGAACCCCTCTCTCCCGCCTCCTCCCACCTCAGGCTGGATCCTCATTGACCGGTGTGGCAAGCACTTTGGTACAATACTCAACTACCTTCGCGATGGGGCGGTCCCGTTGCCCGAGAGCCGTCGGGAGATCGAGGAGCTGCTGGCAGAAGCCAAGTACTACCTGGTCCAGGGCCTGGTGGAAGAGTGCCAGGCAGCCCTGCAAGTAGGTGTGCCCCCTCCCTCCCTCACTGAGCTGATGTGCAAGTTAATGATTTGAGCTCAGGGCTGTTCCCCTCTGGCCAGCGTGACCCCTGAGAGGCCTCCCTGGGATGCCCAGGCCACCTGACTGCTCTCCGGCGTGTTTCAGCCCCCAGGGATTCGGGTCCTCTCCTGTGTACGTTGCAACCCTTCAGTACCCAGCTGTCGGGAATACAATTTGATCCGTTTTCTGGACCCTTCTGGGGACTTACCCATGAGTCATTGTTGAGAGCACACTATAATCTGCAGACAGACACCTTCCACTCCTCAGCTGGGGCAAGACCACTGGGGTCAAGTCTAGGGAGAGTAAAATCCATGCAAAATTAGAGTGCCTCTTGATGGGGCCAGCAGCTGTGAAGACGTGGCAGAGAATCACAAGAGTCCCTGTAGGTTGTCAGAGGCATTAGCTCTGAATTCCTGAGGCTCTCGTTTGCGCCTCTCCCGGCCGCCTGTCCATGTGGCTCCCCATGGGGGCAGGCCTGTCTGCCTGAGGAACTGTTAACTTGCACATACCGCCTCTCCCGAGAGAGTCTGTGAACTCACTGTACATCTAATGGAATGTTGAACCTTTACCTTGTTGTTTTCATTTCGTGTTTATAAAGTAATGTATGTAAAGTATTTACAAAGTCAAGTTAATACTGTAGGCAACGTTGATGTCTGAAACACTACCATATGTCTTCTATCTACCCCCCCCACCCCTAAAGCAGCCTCTTTTAATTCTTAACAGCAGTTGTTTTTTTCTCATATTTCTTACATTGCTATTTATTGATTTTAATTTTTTGGCATTATCCACTGACATTTCTATAGAAAGTGAAAAGTTAGCTCATGCACCACCCCAAACCACTACCAAACTTGCATGCATATATTCCTTCTCTTAATATCGTTTCTAATATCGTTTAATAAAGTTTTGATTAAACCAGTACTCAGAGCCCATAGTAAGTCATATAAATATTGTTAACAGTTGAGCCATAGAGTATACAGTGATTATTTCCTTTCTCTTGTAACTTTTCAGTTTGCCAGAATTAGTGACTGCTTCATTGTTTTTTGTTTGCTTGGTTTTCTAAGTACACAACCCGAATATAGCCCCAGGTTCTCAGAAACCTCAGTCTCCTTTTTGGTATGCGCAGACACATCAGGGAATCCCTGTTTGGCCTTTGTCTTAGAGACATGCCCTCTGGTTCCTTTTTGTGGTTTCTGTTAGTCTGAGATTAAACCTCAGGGGACTGGCCTCCTAGTTTCTGTCATTTTTATTGTTCTGTTTTCTCAGACGGTTTTTTTTCCCCCCCCCAGTTGTATCTTTTCAAGGCTTCTGTTGAGCTTTTCATTTCTGCTGTCATATTTCTGACTCCCAAGAGCCTTTTCTTGCTCTCCGCATGCTCTCAATGTGGCACTCCAGTCTTGTATCATAGGGTGTGATACTAGCTCTTGCCGTTCCGATCTTACTATTGGAAGTGTCCTTTCTGCTGCCTTCATCATGTGGCGGCTCCTCTTACTTTCTGTCTTTGTCTTGGTTTCAGTCTCGTATTTCAGAGGCTTTCTGAATCTAATCTGATGGTCTTTGGTCTGTTGAATTTTAAGCTCTGAAAAAAACTGTAGGTATTGATCTTTGTTGTTCTATGGGCTTCAGTGGCGAATGATAAGGCTGACTTCTTCAGTGGGAACTCTCAATGTCAGAATCTATAAATGCTTCTTCTGGACAGGTGGTTCCCATAGAGGAGTCCTCCCCTGTCTAGCCTGGTTGGTATGACCCTGACTGGCTGCCTTTTGGGATCTGAGCAGAAGGGTTAGGGCTCGCCACTGAGTGCGTAGATCCTTCACTGAATCCCCTCTTTTCAGAATAGCAAGTCAGCCCTGTCCTCTCCTGTACAAACTTCTCCAGGAAAGTGGACTTTTCTCCTGCCAGGCTGGGGTAGGGCATCCATCTGGGGTCTCACCAGTGCTTCTGCCAACAAGCAGGCAGTCCTCAGCTCTTGCTCTCAGCCCACCAGCCTTCAGAGCTGCTCTGGGAAAATCTCCCAGACTCTTTCCTGTCAGCTGGCTTAGGTTTCAGCTTTCTCCTTCTGCTTGGTTGTCATTCATCTGAGACCTGCTTTCCAGCCTCGAGTTCGTGACATCTCTTGCCTGCTGACCATACTTCTTGTATTCCTTTTCTCCTTATGGAGTTTGTAGGAGCTTTGATGCAATCATATTTCATCTGCCTTCTCTAGGGTTTATTTTTGAGTGGCTTCCTGGACTGTGAGAGGACTTCCCTGGTGGCACAGACGCTAAAGCATCTGCCTACAATGTGGGAGACCCATGTTCGATCCTTGGGTTGGGAAGATCCCCTGGAGAAGGAAATGGCAACCCACTCCAGTACTATTGCCTGGAAAATCCCATGGACGGAGAATCCTGGTAGGCTACAGTCCATGGGGCCTCAAAGGGTCAGACATGACCGAGCAGCTTCACTTTCTTTTCACTTTCGCTGGGCTATGAAAAAGTGTCATCATTGTTAGTATTTATGGAGCACCCTGGCATGTAAGACTCCTGGCCAAAGAGCAGGTTCATTGGAGAACTCCACTCTTGATCGTCACCCATCTTATAAAAGATCGTCCTCCTTTCTTCGCAGCCGTGGCTGCCCCATCTCCTCTCGCTAGAGCCTGTCTTTGCCCAGCAGGACAGCTTAAACAGTCCAATGCTGGGCAGGCCTCCCAGGCTGAAAGTATGTTTTGTTCCAGCAGAACAAAGATACTTACGAGCCATTCTGCAAAGTTCCCGTCATCACGTCATCCAAGGAAGAACAGAAACTTATAGCGACGTCAAATAAGGTATGTTGGAGGCACCCTTGTGGCATTTCTTTAGCTACTGAAAGTGGTGGAGATTCTTCTGAATTCAAAACTGAATTCTTCTTATTCAGTTTTGAAATATGTGTAAAATTGCTTGCACATGGTCTGAGAAGGGGTCAAGAACGGGAGCCTGTGGCTCACCTTGTGTTGCCCCTGGTATTGCGGTCATGCCGTCTCCCTCTCAGCCCCTCCCACCCAGCAGGCTATGCTTACCTGCCTCTTCAGGCTGATGGCAGGGCCCCAGCTACAAGGGAAGCCAGTGGTTCTCTGCACCTGTGCTCTGAGTAACTCTCTTTCTGTTTTTTTTTTTTCCTAAAACAACCCACAGCCAGCTGTGAAGTTGCTCTACAACAGAAGTAACAACAAATACTCGTATACCAGGTAAGGTGTTGGCCAGAAACAACCTCTGTACTCTTGGCTGCCAGGCCCAGCTCCCTGCCCCCACGTTCCCTTCAGTCGAGGGTGGCCTTTCTGCACCTCTAGAGTGCCTGCTGGATAGATAGACAGGAAGTGTAATTCACACATATTGTAAAATCCACCCTTGTAAAAATACACAGTTCAGTGCTTCTTACTATAGTCACAGAGTTTTGCACCCATCACCACTCACCTCATTTTAAGCTGTTATCGTCATCCCAGAAGGAAACCTGGACCCGTTATTGGTCACTCCCTGTATTGCTCCACCCTCCTATCTCCCCCAGCCCTAGGCAACCACTGCTGTGTTTTCTGATTCTATGGATCTGCCTACACTGGACATTTCATATAGAGAGAATCATGCAATACATTGTTTTTTGTGACTGGCTTCTTTCACTCAGCATAATGTTGTCAAGGTTCATCCATGTTGTAGCATGAATCAGTACTTCATTCCTTTTTACGGCTGAACAGTATTCCACCATCCAGACAGACCACATTGTTTATCCATCCACCAGTTATGGTTGGGCAGTTAGGGTTGTTTCCACTTTTGGCCGTTAGGAATAATGCTGCTGTGGACGTGTGTGTACACACACACATTTCCACTTCTCCTGGGTAGATACCTAGGAGTGGAATTGCTGGATCATGCAGGGACTCCAGGTTTAATCATTGGAGGACCTGCCGACTTCTCCACAGTGATTACACCACCACTTTATGTTCCCACTAGCAATATACATGGGATTCTAGATACCATTTGTCTCTTGGGAACATGTGGCTCCAGATCAAGAGCTGAAAGGATATGCGGTTGATGAAGTCAGTCAAGACCAGTAAATGGACCCAGGATAGACAGTCTCCCTTGGGCAGGCCGCTCGGCCTCTCGTGGGGCTCCATGGAACGTGCCTCTGTGTCCTCCACCTGCTGGCTGTGCCGGCAGGCCCTGTGTTTTCAGCATTTCATCCCCGCTGGGGCACAGCCCGGCAGCCACTGTAGCACAGACTTGGGGTCCAGAGCTCTCTTTTTGAAACTCAGCTCTGCCATTTATTAGTTTTCGACCTTGGGCAGTTCCCTTATTTCTCTGGCCCTTGCTTCCCTTTGAGCAGTAGGGGCTATACTGCCACCTTCTTGGGCTTCTTGTGAGATTGGTAAGGGGTGGTGGCGATGAGGGGCCTGCATGTGGAGACACAGCCCTGCCAGTGGTGGCCCTTCACACGCCTGGTAATCAGTTGCTTTATCACCTCTTCTTTCGCAGCAATTCTGACGACAATATGTTGAAAAACATTGAACTGTTTGATAAGCTGTCTCTGCGCTTTAACGGAAGGGTCCTGTTCATAAAGGACGTCATTGGAGACGAAATCTGCTGCTGGTCCTTCTATGGCCAGGGCCGCAAGATCGCCGAGGTCTGCTGTACCTCTATCGTCTACGCCACTGAGAAGAAACAGACAAAGGTAAGGGCCTGCAGAGGACGGTTCCAAGTGGCTGGTCTGAAATCCATACTCGTCCAGCTTCCCTTTCCCTTTCCCTTGAGCCAAATCCACTTCAAGAGGCAAAGGCTCTAAACATGTCTTTTTCTGGACTCACGACTGCTCACTGGTACTCATCATCTCTGGGGCCCTGGAAAGGTCCAAATGTCGGCTTGGAAAAACAGTGTGGCATTTTGTTTCTGACACCCAGCAAGGAGAGACAGTCATACTGCTCCCGGGTTCTTTTTCTGTGACTTGGATTCACACGGATCCTTGCCCCCACACATAGCCTGCCGCCCATGTTTTCTCCTCTGCCATCAGTGATCTGATACGACCTTGCTTTCCTCCATGCGACATGCTTTCCCACCAGCCTGGCCACATCCATCTCGCTCATCAGGCGCAGTGCTCCCTCCAAGGTCTTGACCTCGGGCTTCTGGCTGTGACCTACTCCTTCCTTGTCGTCTGTCCTCCTCTTCCCCACTGACCTGGGCAGCTGTCTGCCCTCACGGGGCTCACTCGGCACTCCTCCTGAACCCCGGGGGTTTCCTTCCCAGTGCGTGATTCCCTGACTGATCTGGACTCTGCGGACCCATTTTTATGTCATCCTCTGCAAACCAGTGGGCCTGACCTTTCCCTTGGCCCCTGTCCCTGTGTTGTTCTGCAGAGCTCCGTCACGCTGCAGTGTGGTTAGAGATGCGGTGCCCCGCTCGTTGAAATTTACTCCCTTTACGTCCCTGCTTGCCTCCCTTCCTTGGGCTGTGTGCCTTTTCTCTTTTCTTCTCCCTTCCCTTTTTTTTTTTTTTTAAAGTATAGTTGATTATACACTGTGGTATTAAATTACTCCTGTATAGCAAAGTGACTCAGTTACACATATATATATTCTTTTTCATGTTTTTTTCCATTATGGTTTATCACAGGATACTGAATATAGTTCCTTGTGCTGTACAGGGATCTTGTTGTTTATCCGTCCTATGTATAATAGTTTACATCTGCTCATCCCAAACTCCTAATCCACCTGCCCATCTCCCACATGGCAGCCTCCAGTCTGTGCTTCGGGTCTGTGATTGTTTCTGTTTTACAGATAGGTTCCCTTCTATCATGTTTTAGACGCTGCATATAAGTGATATTGGGCTTCCCTGGTGGCTCAACTGGTGAAGAATTACAATACGGGAGACCCTGGTTGGGTTCCTGGGTTGGAAGGCTCCCTGGAGAAGGGATAGGCTACCCACTTCAGTATTCTTAGGCTTCCCTGGTAGCTCAGACGGTAAAGAATCCACCTGCAATGTGGAAGACCTGTGTTCAGTCCCTGCTTTGGGAAGATCCACTGGAGGGAATAGGGCATGGTAACCCACTCCAGTATTCTTGCCTGGAGAATTGCCATGGACAGAGGTGCCTAGTGGGCTTCAGTCCATGGGGTCGCAAGGAGTCAGACAGGACTGAGTGACTAATTACAGCACAGCATAAGTGATATCTTACGGTATTTGTTTTGCTCTTTCTGACTTTGCATAATCTGATAATCTCTGATTGCCTCTTGTTCAGTTGCTAAGTTGGGTCCGACTCTCTGAACCCCATGGACTGCAGCACACCAGGCTTCCCTGTCTTTCACTATCTCCTGCAGTTTCCTTAAACTCCTGTCCATCGAGTCGGTGATGCCATCCAGCCATGTCATCCTCAGTCGCCCCCTTCTCCTCCTGCACTCAGTCTTGCCCAGCATCAAGGTCTTCTTCAGTGAGTCAGTTCTTCGCATCAGGTGGCAAAAGTATTGGAGCTTCTGCTTCAGCATCAGTCCTTCAGTGAATATTCAGGGTTGATTTTCTTTAGGATGGACTGGTTTGATCTTGCCGTCCAAGGGACTCTCAAGAGTCTTCTCCGGCACCACAGTTCAAAAACATCAGTTGTTTGGCACTCAGCCTTCTTTATGGTTCCACTCTCACATCCGTACATGACTATTGGAAAAACCATAGCTGTGACTGTATGAACTTTTGTTGGCAAAGTGATGTCTCTCCTTTTTAGTATGCTGTCTGGGTTTGTCATAGCATTTCTTCCAAGGAGCAAATGTCTTAACTTTGTGGCTGCTGTCACCATCTGCAGTGATTTTGGAGCCCAAGAAGATAAAATCTGTCATTGTTTCCACTTTTTCTCCATCTATTTGCCATGAAGTAATGGAACTAGATGTCATGATCTTCGTTTTTTGAATGTTGAGTTTTAAGCCAGCTTTTTCACTCTCCTATTTGATCTTCACCAAGAAGTTCTTTAGTTCCTCTTCAGTTTCTGCCCTAAGAGTGGTATCACCTACGTATCTGAGGTTGGTGACGTTTCTCTGAGCAGTCCTGCCCAGCTTGTGCTTCATGCAGCCTGGCATTTCACCTGATGTACTCTATAAGTGAAATAGGCAAGGTGACAGTGTACAGCCTTGATGTACTCCTTTCCCAACTTTGAACCTGTCCCATTGTTCCATGTCCAGTTCTAACTGTTGTTTCTTGACCTGCATACAGGTTTCTCAGGAGACAGGTAAGGTGTTCTGGTATTCCCATCTCTTTAAGAATTTTCCAGTTTGTTGTGATTCACACAGTCAGAGGCTTTAGCATAGTCAGTGAACAAGAAGTAGATTTTTTTTTTTTTTAATTCCATTGCTTTTTCTAAGATCCAGCGGATGTTGGCAATTTGATCTCTGGTTCCTCTGCCTTTTCTAAATTTAGCTTGTACATTTGGAAATTCTCGGTTCACGTACTACTGAAGCCTAGCTTGAAGGGTTTTGAGCATTACCTTACTAGCATGTGAGATGAGTGCAATTATGCGGTAGTTTGAACATTCTTTAGCATTGCCCTTCTTTGGGATTGGAATGAAAACTGACCTTTTCAAGCCCTTTGGCCTCTGCTGAGCTTTCCAAATTTGCTCTCACATTGAGTGCAGCATGTTAACAGCATCATCTTTTAGGATTTGAAATAGGTCAGCTGGAATTCCATCACCTCTACTAGCTTTGTTCGTGGTAATGCTTCCTACGGCCCACTTGACATCACACTCCAGAGTGTCTGACTGGGTGATTGACATCACACTCCAGAGTGTCTGACTGGGTGAGTGACCATCGTGGTTATCTGGATCATTAAGACCTTTTTTGATACAGTTGTTCTGTGTATTCTTGCCACTTCTTAACGTCTTCTGCTTCTGTTAGATCTTTACCATTTCTGTCCTTTATTGAGCCCATCTTTGCATAAAATGTTCCCTTGGTATCTCTAATTTTCTTGAAGAGATCTCTAGTCTTTTCCATTCTATTGTTCTATTTCTTTGCATTCTTCACTTAATAAGACTTTGTTATCTCTCCCTGCTATTCTCTGGAACGCTACATTCAGTTGGGTATATCTTTCCTCTTCTCCTTTGCCTTTTGCTTCTCTTTTCAGCTATTTGTAAGGCCTCCTTAGACAACCACTTTGCCTTCTTGCATTTGTTTTTCTTGGGGACGGTTTTGATCACCACGTCCTGTTCCAAGTTATAAACCTCCATCCATAGTGTTTCAGGCACTATGTCTAACAAATCTAATCCCTTGAATCTATTTGTCACCTCCAGTGTATAATGATAAGGGATTTGATTTAGGTCATATCTGAATGGCCTAGTGGTTTTCCCTACTTTCTTCAATTTAAGTCTGAATTTGCAATAAGGAGCTCAAGATCTGAGCCACAGTCTTCTCCCAGTCTTTTTTTTGCTGACTGTATAGAGCGTCTCCATCTTTGGCTGCAGAAACTAAAATATCAGTGTAAATTCAGTATTTACCATCTGATGATGTCCATGTGTAGGGTCGTCTCTTGTGTTGTTGGAAGAGGGCGTTTGCTATGACCAGTGCGTTCTTTTGACAAAACTGTTAGCCTCTGCCCTGCTTCATTTTGTACTCCCAAGGCCAAACTTGCTTGTTACTCCAGGTATCTTTTGTCTTCCTACTTTTGCATTCTAGTCCCCTATGATGAAAAGGACATCTTTTTTTGGTGTTAGTTCTAGAAGGTTTTGTAGGTCTTCATAGAACTGTTCAGTTTCAGCTTCTTTGGCATTAGTGGTTGGGGCATAGTCTTGGATTATTGTGATGTTGAATGGTTTGCCTTGGAAATGAACAGAGATCATTCTGTTGTTTTTGAGATTGCGTCCAAGTGCTGCAGCACTTTGATGGACACCTGGCGGCCAGCGAAGATTTACAGGCTCAACAAGGACCAGCAGTGAGACAACCAGGTGGCCAGGCATGTCGTCTGACTATGGAGCAGCTGAAGGACATGTCTCTGCCAGTCAGGGCCTGACAAAATGTGGTCCACTGGAGGAGGAAATGGCAAGCCACTTAAGTGTGCTTGCCTTGAGAACTCCATGAACACAATGGAAGAGGCATTTTTCAATAGCCTTTTTAAAACTCCTTCAGTATTTTTAATCTCTTTTTGAAACAGGTGTCTATTAGAATGAAGAGGTCTGCTTCATTGTTTCTCTTTCAGGAGAATACTTTTAACCAGGAGTGGTTCCTTCGCTTTTCCATTTTACTTAAAATTCTCCCAGTCTGTGAGTTGAGGAGAAACAGTTGTGTTCTGTGGTCTTGGAGGACTGGTCACATGTGGGTCATCCCTGGGTAGCTTGTGTGGGTTTGATGGATTAGGTGCAGGGCTGTTTTTAGTATGGGTGCCAGTCGCCTTTTCCCCGGCACTTGCTAATGGTTTGCCCTTCGGTAAGCGGTGTGCAGATCCGGCAACTGGTGCCCTGTTATGGGGTTCTCAGTGGTGGCAGGCAGCTCAGGCACCCCCGCACCATGTGATGGGAGCAGAGGCATCTGGCAGCCGTGCCTATTGATTGGGCGGGTGGCAGAGGGGGCCCCATGATCACTCCTGGGGTCAGGGAGGGAGCTTCTGGCCTGTGACCAACCCCTGGAGCCCGTGCAGGCAACGTCCTGCCCTCTGCGAGTGTGCACACAGTGAAGAATGCTGCAATCTGGGTCCTGCCGTTCCCCACATGCACCCCACCATGGTTGCTGGTCTCTAGGGTGGCCCAGAGATCCACTGGGAACACTCCCAGCCGCGGTTGCACAGGATTCCAGCCCCCCGCCGTTTGTCCCTTCACGGCCATCCCCCGACCTCTCTCCGGTTCTGATCTCTGAAGCCCAGGTTCCAGCGCCCAGTCCAAGCAGCACCCACTGAGCCAGGCCCCAGCCCGCTGACCGTCTGTGCTGCCTCCATCCGCTCTGCCGCCGTGTTCTCCCAGGCTCGCCTGTCCCAGCAGATCTCCCAGGGGTGGGGGGCTTCTCAGTGTACAGGAGCATTTCCTCTTTCACAGCTCCTTCCTGGGGGCACAGGTCCCATCCTGATTTGTTTCTTGCTGTTTTTTGTCTTTTCGTACCCAGTCTGTGGAGATTTTGTCGCCCTCTGAGCAGTCTGGGCTCTTTTGCCAGCATTCAGTAGACATTCGGCGAGAATCATTGCACATGTCAGTTTTACATACTTTTGATGTATTTGTGGGAGGAGGTGAGTGTCGAATCCTACTCCTCCGCCATCTTGATTGCTCTCCTGTCTTGTTTTTAGCCATACCATATACTCTGTCATCTCCTTTTCAGCCTAAGGGAAGTCTGATGACCAGGGATGCGTGCAGTAGGCCACACCCTGTCACCTTCACACAGGCCTGTAGGTCCCCTGTTAGGTCCTCATTCTTGCTGCAGCCCGAGAAGCCCACAGCTCCATTTGCTCCTGGAGCAGCCTCAAGAAGCAGAACGCAAATGAGAGGAAAATCAGACCACCAAGTAAAAGCCAGAAATTTTAAAAAAAATTTCACTTCTGAAAAGATTTTATTCATTTATGTAGAACATATCCTGAAAGATACATATTGTTTTAAGGTAGCCAGGAAGGGAAGAGCGCCGGGGTTCCTTTTTTCTTTGCAGAGATAGTGGGGGTGACCAGAATGGTTCACTTAGGGCACCTCTGGTGGCTACGACGGTAAAGGATCTGCCTGCAATGCAGGAGACCTGGGTTCGATCCCTCCGTCGGGAAGATCCCCTGGAGAAGGGAATGGCAACCCGCTCCAGTATTCTTGTCTGGAGAATCCCGTGGACAGAGGAGCTCCAGTCCATGGAGTCACAGAGTCAGACATGACTGAGTGACTAACACTTTCTCCAACATTGGGAAGTCACATAGTTCTTTTCTCCTGTGAACTTGTCCGTAGGGCTGTGAATTCCACCAGTAACTGGACTCCCCACTGTGTCATGGTCTTAGTTGTAGCTCTTGGGATCTTCCGTTGTGGCGCTTAGACACCCCAGTTGTGGTGCATGGGCTCTGAAGTGAGCGGGGCCATAGCACCCGCTCTTGGGCCTAGCTGCTCTGCGGCATACGGGATCTTAGTTCCCAGGCCAGGGATCGCACCTGAGCTCTCTGCGTTGCAAGGCAATTTCTTAACTACTGGAATACCAGGAAAGTGCTCATAGTTTGTTTTTTTTTGTCTGTATATGCATGGATTGCATCTGCCCTTGAATATTCAAAGTCTAGTCATCATATTGATTAAACTTTAAAATAGCTGCTTTATGTTTTTGGAGTTTAAGGGGCAGGAGAGGTACCGAGAGACCTCACGGTCGGATCCTGACTGAGTTTTGGATGGGTTCTGGAGTGAGCCTGAGCTCTTGTTTGGGCAGCTGGTTAGTGGTGGAGCCAGGATGGAGGCCAGGCTTCCCTGCTTCCTTCACTCTGCATCTTGTCTCCAGGGAGGTGGTGTTGGGATGGCCACCCCTTCAGAGGGACTGTTTTCCTCTTTCTCCTTTCAACCCAAACCTCCAGAAGCTGAGCTTTGGCGCCAACTCTCAGGTTCTGTTGCCCCAAGTCACTGTACAGATGTCCCACTTGGGTTTCTGCATCATTGCCGTCTTCCTTGGTACTGCATCTCAAGTGCTTTGGCAATTCTCACTGATTCATTCTGTTGCCTGAGACAAGTGCCTGGGACCTGCCTCTCACTCATGGCGCCTGACCCCAAAGGGCGGTGAACAGACACGGTGCTTTACTGAGTGGGGAGGGATTATAACCGTCCGTTTCATGAGGGCCCCCCCTGGTGGTCCCTTTTTGGATGGAATGCTGCCTTAAGGTGTGGAATGACAGGTGTGCAAGGGTGCAGCCCTGTTAGAAGCACCATGTTGGGAATGATGCCAGTGTCCACAGAAAGGAAACGAGGGGCAGAGAGACCCACTGCACTGCATCCATTTTCTCTCGTGTGTGAATCCAGCGCCGTGTGTAGGTGTTGCGCATTGAAAGCTGTAACCACCTGGGGCGTGATCATGACCGTCTTACCAATGGTTGGGGGCCTGCCGGGGCCAAACGGCACTGCTTTCAGGGCCTCGGCGGAAGCAGAGGTGGGCGGGAGAGGGGAGCTCTGAGATGACAGCTCACCGCCTTGTGTTCCGTGGGGCCGCAGGTGGAGTTCCCCGAAGCCCGGATCTACGAGGAGACCCTGAACATTTTGCTGTACGAGGCCCAGGATGGCCGGGGACCTGACAACGCGCTCCTGGAGGCCACGGGCGGGGCGGCTGGGCGCTCCCACCACCTGGACGAGGACGAGGAGCGGGAGCGGGAGCGGATTGAGCGCGTGCGACGGATCCACATCAAGCGCCCAGATGACCGGGCCCACCTCCACCAGTGAGCGGGTGGGGTCCCCCGCCGTCCCCCATCCGCTCGCCTGCCCCCCCTTGCTGTGCACCCAGCACCCCCGCCGGCTCCCAGACGCCTGCCACTTCCCCCAGAGTCCAGAGAGACTTCCCTACAAACCAAATGATTTTGGTATTTCTAGACAAGGTAAATTGATGTCTTTGCCCAGGTGAACGCACCCCAGCTGGTGAACAAGCCGGGTCCACGGTCTCTGTTTCCCAGAGAATCCGAGCAGCACTGGAGCCAGGCTTTTCCTGCTTCCGGAGGAGGGGTGGGTGAGCGGGTGGGGTGTGCGTGTGAGAAACCCCTCTGCAGTATTTATTTTGGGGGGTGTTGACTGCCTCTCTCATCTTCTCGGGGGCCTTCCCTCCAGGGTTCGGTTTGCCAGCTGGGAGCAGGGCCCCATGGGCGGTGGTCACCCGCGGCGTCCCCACGTTTCCCCACCTTGCAGCGCAGCGTCCTGGCCCCGTTCCTGTGTGCTGGGCCTGGCACAGGCTCCAGGGCTTTGCGAGCTGGCCATCCGGCCATGGGCGCTGCTCAGAGAGCTTGTGGGTGGAGACCCGCAGCTCCTGGGGGTTCGCGCCTCTCTGCTGCGGTTCCCAGCGTGCCCCTGACTGCCCAGCTCTGCCAAAGGGCAGGCCTGTTGCCCCTTCAGCCGATCTGTGGTCTGGCTGCGGGCAGAGCTTCCCCCCGCTCCTCCCACCTACCCCCGCCCCCTGCCTTGGGGACCCACTCCATTCCATGCTGGCCGCCTGGCCTGCTCACGGGCACAGCACACAGACCACGCCCGGTGGCTCCATTCCCTCCTCCCCGGCCTTTTACCCTGTTAAGCAGGGCTTGCTGCCCCAAGCAGATACCCTCCCCTTGGCTAAGAAGAAAGGAAACCTGGCTCCAGACTCTGTTCTGGCGTCCAGGCAGGACCAGTGCTCACTATAGGGTGGCTGTCACCTGGAGATAGCCTCCGGGTTTCCGCCTTGGAGTCTTACACAGTGTGACGTGGCTGTCAGCAAGCAGACCGAGAGGTTGTGCAGGTTTCTGGGGTCCGGTCAGTGTCCGTGTTCATGTTTGCTTAAGGGACGTGCGTGACTGTGGATGAGGATGTGTGCCTGGGGGGCCCGAAGGGCCCGCGCTGGAGCCCTGCTGCCCACACAGTGCTCGTGGGGGGCGGACGTTCTCGGTGACCTACCTCCCCGCCTCTCCGCGCCTGTGCCGGCCCAGAGGGAGTTGTGACGAATGTGGGTGGCTGAGACTAGGCTGGTAGAGTAGTTCCAGGAAGGTGAGGGTGTGTGTACAGTCTGGATGGGTTTTGTCGGCTATTCAAGTGACTGTTTTATACCAAAGGTATTAATATGGGCAGCCTTTGACAGTGTATTCCCCAAAAAACGAGTTTATATTTTGAAATGGTTTTTACTGCTTAGACTTTGTACATCCGGTCCTACTTGGGACAGTTGTATACCTTTATTTTGTATCCAGCAGCAAAGCCTACAATAAAACTTGCAAACAATCATGATTGAACCTAAAAATCACATACAGGGGTAGATGCTTTTAAACTGTTGTATGGGCAACTTTCGTATATAGGCCACCTGGATTTTATTAAGTGCTGAGGACGGGAGGGAGGGGGCTTAATTAAATATGGTTTGTAAATATTTTCTACTGTGGAAGTTTTAAACACCAACCCTGCTGTTTGGGTTGTCCTTTTCTAGAACGGTAAAGTGAATGTCAGTTCTGATGTTTTCTGTAGGAATGGAAAAGCCATCATGTAAGTTCTCTTTTGTTTTTAAATGTTTACGTGAAGAGTAAGTTTGTGGATCAGTCTGAGCTGTCGGGGCTTCTACACCTTATAATGTTTATAATGACTTAAATAATGTTTCTGGCAATCTCTGTTTTCACATCTCCTCCAGCTTTGCACTTGGAGTTTGAAGTCTTTGCTTTCCTGGGATATGAACAAGTTCATGAAAGCATTCCATAGTGAGTGATACTGTTAGCTGCCTATAGCCGTGAGCTGATGATGACGAAGCATTGGCTGGTCCAAGGCTCTGTTATCAGACATATTCTTCAAGGAACTGATCTCTTATGTGAGCACTAAGGATCAGCAAAAGTCAATACCTGTATTTAAGAACCATCCAAGCAAATCACTGGCCCTAAGATTTGTTAAAGAGTGTAGTTTTTATTACACTGTAATAACTTACAGTGGGAAAAACCAATACAGCTTTGGGTCCCTCATAATCAGGTTTTTTCCCCAAATAAGTCATTGATTGCGGTGACTAGGGGGCCTCTGCCCATGACAGTTCCTGGCCAGGCCTCACAGTCGCCCCCCTGCAGTGATTTAACGGGGTGGTCACCGTTCAGGTACCCCAGCCCTCCGTCTGGAATGTGCTCCCTACTACCCAGAGTCACTGTAACACGTGTGTGTCACTAACCTTTCTGTCTCTGTGCCACGGGAAAAAGTACACTATGCACTTCAGAAGCAGTCACTGTATGTTGTACCAGCCTCTGTGGATGTATGTAAAATAAAAGTTCTATATAACGCTTCTACTTAAATCTCTTTTTGTGGATCTTTTCAGAAATGCCCAGCACAGTCTGGCCACTGACTGAGGTGCAGTTCAGAGCAGAGATCCCACCTCCAGGTTGCTCAGGGTGGAAAAGCTGAGTCATTTTTCTGGAGTGTTTGAACTCCCAACACTGGCAGGAAGTCTCGGGTGGAGAGGCTGCAGGACTGGTGGAAACGCGGACGGTCGGTCAGCGGCTCTTGCCCCTGAACACAGGTTTGGGGTGGGGAGAGCTTCACCTCACCCCGTGGAACCTAAAGCCGCGAAGGAGTTGGGGATGTTCCTGAGTTCCACTTATTTAAGCAGAATTCACATTTTGCAGCCTTATGCGCTCAGAACACATGTTTCATTGTGCCTCTGGGGCAGCATGACAGACTCTGTCGCTGCCCCCCCCCCCCCATAATGACATGCTCAAGTGCCCATCGAGCGTAGGTCCTATTGGGGACGTTTAAGAGCACCCCCTTGGGTGATTTGAGGTTGGCTCCCTGGAAGGCACTTTTAATGCCACGAGACACCTGTGGGGCTGGCGTCAGATGCCATTCCCTTCCTTCAGGGATGATCTTTCCCCAGAACTGCTGGAACCCTTGCTTGAAGGCATCGCTCGCGGGACCAGACTCGAGCTTCCCGGGTTTCTCCTCAGTGGCAGCAAAAGTGGCGATGGGAGAGGTCAGATGCTGTCTCCCGTCAGGACTTCATGCGGACCGACACCTGGCGAGGGTACACGCTGGGGCTCAGAGGTCTCCCCTCCCTCGGAAGGATGCCGGTAGCACCCCAGCTGCCCACATGGTCCAGGTAGACGTGGACAAGCTGTGAGCCGCCAGCCCCGCCACCCGCACCATGTCCATCCCCACCCCACCCCCTGCCAATGAGCTGAGCCACATCTAGAATTGGGCTCCCTGAGGCCTGTTAGCTTCAGCCTGAGCCGGCCAGGGAGGAACATGGGGCGAAGGCTTTAAGACAGCATGTAAACTGAAAAATCACCTTATTCATTACGCTAAAAATCATGCTTAAATATTTTGTCCCTGTTGACAGAATACATTTCATTGTTAAATGTATATGAGATGCTCTATGTTGTTAGACCATTTTCAAATTGGTTTGTAGCAAACTGTGAATCCTTGGTACATATACAACATACATCTTAAAGATTCAAACACCCTGGGGTGGAATAGTTGTCATTTCCCAGCCAAGTTGGATCAGACTCACTAGGGAGGAGCACGAGGCTTGATTTTTTAACATGGACCTGTCTCCCAAACCTCTGCTCCTTGGTGCCAGGAGCCTCCCATTCCAGAGCCCAGGCCTCACCCTCCGCCTGTAGCATCATGGTGTCTTGCGGATGGTGACGGGGGAGACACAAACACTTGGTATTTTTCAAAGCTCGCCAGGAGTTTCCCATGTGGAGACTCGCTTGAGAACCACGTGGTAAGGCATCAGGCCTTTGCCACCCAGTGAAGAGTTGGGCTTGGACATTTAATACTGAGAAGAATTGAATGTCAGCTTCTGGTCCCCTGACAAGTAAATGTGGTGAGTAAACTGTTTCCTTTTTCATTCAGCATTTGCATCTGTATCTCTAGTACCCATTCCTGACTGTTGTTCAGTGTAGACTCAGAGGGAAAGATAAACGATTATGATTCCGGTCAGTCTGTGAAAGTGAAAGTATTAGTCACTCAGTCGTGTCTGAATCTCTGTGACCCCGTGGACTGTAGCCCACCAAACTCCTCGTCCATGGGATTTCCCGGGCAAGAATCCTGGAATGGGTTGCTGTTCCCTTCTCCAGGGGATCTTCCCGACCCAGGGACTGAACCCAGCTCTCCTGCATTGTAGGTAGATTCTTTACTGTCTGAGCCACTAGAGAAGCCCAAGGAAGACTGAAATTAGGAGGATTTTAACCTATAGTCTCATTTAAAACAGCTTACGCCTCCCTCCCCCAGACCCAGCCACTCACCACTGTCAGCTGTCCGTTTTTATCTTTATAGATTTGTTCCTCTGGTCCAGTGTCAAAAACTATTGTGCCTTCTTTTCCAGGACTAATGCAAAACTGTAAACTTAAAATATTAATACACAAAATGATAAATTACTGACATGCTTTATTATTTTTCTCTTCCAGCTTTGGTTCTGCAAAAGAAATTCACCTGTGATGCTTACTAGTTTCAAGATCAAATTCCTGTTTCATTATAGACTTTAATTGTGTATTTGAGTTATCAGAAGAAAACCATTTCTGCAGCTGGGAAAATGGCCATGCATTCCTGTAGTTACTCTCAAATCAGTTTAGCACAGCTCTTCCACAGGCATCAATAGCAGGGGTGTGGCTGTCACCTGCTCTGGCCCAGAGGTCCCCCTTTCACCTGGTGACAACTTAAGACCATAAGCACCTCTTTGGAAAACTATTGGTTCCCTTAGGAAAATGAGTGATCACTGACTTCATTTCTCTGGAGCTCTTGTCCTAGGAGCTGAGGAGGGAAAGAAAGTTGTTGCAGGCAGGCAGTGCTTGCTTTTCCAGGAGGGGCAGGCATGGGTGAAACAATTAACGTTTGCATCTTCCTTGATCTGTTAATACATTATTGACCAGAGACATATTGATATGTCTTTTGTTACCCAGATGTTATTGACTAGAGTTGTAGCAATACATTTTTAGAGAGTGATGCAATTAATATCACTGTAACTAGTTGCTAGAGCTTAAAGTTGACCAATGGTTCATTATACAACTTATGATTGTCGTTATCATTCACATTTTGCCCCATCAGATTTTTGATCCAACCTTGTGTATGTCATAAATGCCAAGTTCATTACTGTAAAGTTTTCAAAAATGACGCATGGTGAAATTCTGAATGGAGAAGGATGTTTTGGTGGATTTTATGCAGATACTTTCTCTGATTGCCGAGCAACATAGATACTAGTGTCTCAGAAGATGATAGTTCTTCAGAATATAGTTCTGATTCAGACGGTGTGCATGTTAGACCAAAAAAAGACAAAAAACCTGAGTGATTGGTTCTGATATGGAAAGTGAAAATGAAGCAGTGCTGGGGAAGACTTTACAGGTGTGTCAGATGTAACTATTGAATACAACACTATTATATTCAGTAGTTAGTGAATTAACAGAATCACATTTTTGGCCTGCCAAGATAAAAATCACTGGCCACAGACATTAGTTTCTGCAGAACTCCCCCAGTCAGTAATGAGGTAATAGACATTTAACACTGAGGGACTTACTGAGTCCAGATGTGACCACCTACCTTCCCTGAACAACATTTACGAGGTTCTCCTTCTTAGCCAGCATGGCGAGCTTAGTAACCGCTTCAAATACGTGTTCACACTGTAAGATGACATCCCCCTGCGGCAGAGAGGCGAGGACACAGCCATTTCAGCGGTGCGTGCTCGACCACTCAGTCGTGTCCAACTCTTTGTGACCCTGTGGACTGTAGCCCACCAGGCCCCTCTGAACATGGGGAGTCTCCAGGCAAGAATCCTGGAGTGGCTTGCCATTTCCTCCTCCAGGGGATCTTCCCGACCCAGGGATCGAACCCGCATCTCTCTAAGTCTCCTGCGTTGTTGGGCGGGTTCTTTACCACTAGCACCACCTGGGAAGCCCTTCAGTCGTAGTGGCTTCAAGGAAAACTACCACTGAGGTTTCACCGGGGGCAGCTAAAGATTTTGGCAGTGTTTCTCCCTGTTAACAGCCCGCCCCACGGCCAGCAGTTACCTTTTGCTTGATGTCTGCTGGCAAAACATGAATGACTAAGATCCCGTCGCTGAGGCTGCTGGTGGAGACACCTTAGGACAGATGCAAAGTCAGGGGCCAGGAACTGGACAAGTTGACATGAATACAGAGAAAAGAGGCCCGCTTGGGGTTCCCAACCCCACGCTTTTTCCCTCCTAGCTGGCTGACTGGGGTGGAGGGCACATACTCCAGCAGTTAGCGTCTGTGCTTGGAATAAGCTGTCATGAGTGACTGGCCTTCTACTTGGATGTTGGGGTGAGATGCCATGGGCCTTTATGCTGGAATCAGAGGCACAGGCCAGGCCGGGCTGCCCTGGGTTTTGTGGGCACCCTTCACTTAGGTCTTTTTTAAAAAAATATCTATTTATTTGGCGGTGCTGGGTCTTAGTTGCAACATGTGGGTCCTGGACAGGGAACCTGGGCCCTCTGGGCTGCCTGCATTGGGAGTGCAGAGTCTTAGCCACTGGACTACCAGGGAAGTTCCTCACTTGGTCTTTCAACGAAGGAGCTGCTTCCTTGCTGGTGCTCCTGGGAGCTGAGTCCACCCAGTGAGTCATCTTAAGATCACCTGCTGCTTACCTTTGAGGGTGGGGTACTCTATTTTCTGCTTGATTTTGGCAGATTCCACCACGTAGGCTGCTTTCTGAGTGAAGATGAGCTGCCGCTGCCGCATCTTGAAGCCTCTCCTGTCGTGTTTAATGACCGGGACGCCGTACTGCGAGGAGGGGACCGTCACTCCAAGGGATGCTCCGATCACAGGGGAGGGGGCAGACTACCGAGTTCCCTGTTCCTCGGACTCTAGCATCATGGCTTCGGGCACTCACATGAGAGGGGGCTCAGATGGTGCACAGCTGGGTTTTCTCTGAACCCTGGCTCTCTGTGAGATAGATTTGATTCCTGGCTCTGACTCTGGCATTGACCTGAGGAATTCAAGGCCCCGGCCATCAGCCTCACCAGGCTGCTCTGAAAACTCGGCAGAGATGAAGACACTCTGCAGGCGTTGGAGCCCTGGCCGCTGGAGAGCAATCTAACCCAGTCACAGGTCTCTGGTGCCCAGGAGACAAAGTGACCCAGCAACCCCCAGTGCCGCCAAGGTCACTGGCTGCTGCGTGCCTGCGCCCCTCACACCCCCGACCCCTCTGTCCTCCCCGTTCACAGAAACACGAAGGCGCCGAGCCTGTAAGTCACCTGCCCGGGGGCTGCACAGCTCCGTTACGAAGCCCACGTGGGTGCACAGGCACCCCCACCACACTGCTTCTAACAGGGGATGTCTAATGATTACATGCATAGCCACATTCCACTCAACTTCACAGGGCATCAAACACAGTGGGGTGGCAGATAAGGACCATAAGAACAGCAGCGGGTACCAAAGATTACGGGGTCTCCATCATCTCAGCATCTGGAGCACCACAGCTGAGAGCTGGGGCCACACACGCGTACCCCTGCTTTCAGATAGTGTTTCCAGCCCCGTCTTGTGTAGGAAACAGACTTATTCTCAGATCTTGTGGGGAAGTCCTGTCTCGGGCGAGGACACACAGCTCCTTGCCTGGATTTTCTCGCTGCTGAGGAGTTGAAGCACTCTGGGGTTAATGTCTCCTTCATCTAAGGAGGCAACGAGAACACAGCAAATCATCACTGGGTACCAGCCCTGGGCAGAAGCCAGAGGCATCAGCTGGTTTTATGTCCCCCTGTGAATTAGACCTCAAGCTGGGAGATAGCTGTCAGGAAATGCTAGGCGTCAAACATCTTCCTTTGACTTTTTTTTTAAAAATAGGGCAAACGAGCATGTAGATGGAAAAAGAGACTGACCTATTCGGCTGTTGGCAAAGGGTTGATTTAAGCTTTCTGCGTAGCCTTCTTTCTTTCCCCTGAATATTTCACTCGTGACCACCTTTTCCTGCATCTGGTATAGTTAAAGAACAGAACAGTAGCCATGAGGCTCTTGGGGACCTAAAGAGGTCCATGTTAGCGCTGACTTTACTGAACAAGTCAGGCTCCTTGGGGAGCCTTGCCACCCCTCTGCCGAGTCAGAGCATGCAGAAGTCAAACACACCTGGCTTGGACCAAAGCTCCAAACACTCTACTGCTTAGAGACTGAAGTTGACACTTGGGCTTGTCTCTACTTGCACTGACTCCTTGGAAGTAGAATTTCACTGTTTCAGAGAGCACATTCTTCTAGGTCAGAGGTGACAAACTATAGCCCGCAGGCCAAATCCAGTAAACTGTTGTGAGTGATGTATATTTTGGAGCATGGCTGTGCCCTTTATTTACAGGTTTCTGTGGCACAGTAATTTCAACAGAAATGGTGTGGCCCGCAAAACCTAGAATGCTACCCTCTAGCTCTTTATAGGGGGAAGAAAAAAATCTGCTGACCGGCAGATGAACATAAAACCACACCTCCAGAGAGGGGGCCATCTGAATGGTGTTTCCATGGTAACAGTGCTAGCAAGAGAGTGATGGTGCTTATGACACTTGCCAGTTCAGGAGGGCTCTGTACTAAGTGGTCCACGTGCGTTTTATCCTCAAGGCAAGTATGAGGCATGAGCCTTGTGTGATCTTCGGCTTACAGGTGAGATGGTGGATGAGGACCTCTGGCCCTTGTGGGGCTGGCACCCACCCCTCTCCGGTCCTGCCACCTGCCCACACACCGCGTCCCTACCAGGGCTCTCCTCTCGGTGGTGATCCCACGGCAGTACTTCCGGACCAGGTTCCTGGTGCACATCTTCCTGAGCAGATCTGATGCCTGTGTGGGGAACACACCCGTTTTCCGCCTGCCTTCAGCCACCAAAACAGAAGCTTTGAAAGCAGGGCTGAACTCAGGGTGATGTAAAAGCACAGCGTTAAAATGTTTTCTGATCAGAGAGAGCTGCTCATCTTCCAGTCTTTTCACTATGGCTAAACTGGTGGTTTTTAACCTGGAATGAGTTTTGAGTTGCCTGGATTGCTGGCTAGGAGGTTCCAAGAGACGCTGACTCAGGGGCCCCAGTGGGAGGGGGCCCAGGAATATTACAATCGCCCCCACTCTGCACTCCAGACACACAGCGTCCCTGGAGCATCTGAGAAACACTGTTGCAGGCGACAGTCCCTGAACCTATATGAAAGGTCCCATTAAAGACAGAAGCCATTCAGAAGTGCTCTGTGTAAACAGACCTCCTCTGGCGTCATACTTAGAGAATATGACAGATTCTGAGTTTGGTTGCTCAGGCATCACCCTCATGGGGAAATGCTTTATCTGGTGAGGCAGCACAAACCAACCGTCTCCCTTGTGGCTCTGCTGGTAAAGAATCCGCCTGCAATGCGGGAGACCTGAGTTCGATCCCTGGGTCGGAAAGATCCCCTGGAGCAGGGAATGGCTATCCACTCCAGTGTTCTGGCCTGTAGAATTTCATGGACTGTACAGTCCATGATGTCACAGAGTCGGACATGACTGAGCAACTTTCACTAAGCTCCACCCACGCCATCTGCCACATGTGTTCTGGAATAGTCCTTACAGTTTCCAAGATGCCAGGAGGCCTCAGCCAGCTCTTGTCCAAGACGTTCTTTGGGACATGATACCGGAGGTTCAAGATGTAATTCTTGCGCACAAACACAATGAACTCCTCGTTGTCAGGACAGAGGGGCTTGTTCCGATTGATGAACCCCTTTATGAACCTAGAGGGAGAGAGAGTTGTTAGTTTCCTATTTCCTCACTTCCTGTTTCTTCACTGAGTTCTCTGCCACACTGGTTTGAATCAGCATCAGCCAAAAACATGGGAGATTAAATTTGCTTACCATGTAGGGCCGCGGGTCAAATCTGCCCCCAAAGATATGTTCTATCTCACCCACGCTGTTTTTTGGTTTTGTTTTGAGTAACCTGAATCTGTTGCCAAAAACAACAAATGGGAGGTATTGCATGACAGCCAGATTTCCAGCTTTCCTTGAAAGAAGTTCAAAGATCTGGCCAGACTGGCCCGACAGGCGTTGGCTGAAGTGGGGTGATGACTACCCCTCTGAGGTGGACCGAGGGTTTCTTTTCGCCTCAGTCCCCACCCTACCAGCTTATGAGACCTGCTGCACCTGCCTGGCCTCAGAAGGCATTTGATTTTGTGGCTTGAGAACTAGGCTAAGAGAAATGTCAAACGTTGTGAGTTGTGATCACCGTCCAGTGCGCAAGTCCTCAGGGTTGATGTCCTGCAGGAAAGATGGGTTTTCTGCCCAAAGCCAAAAATCTCAGCCAAGTCCATGACCACCCTCTGCAGTACAGCGGTGGCACTCAGAAACCTCGCCGCCTTACCAAAGCCGATGGAGGACTTACTTTCTTACAATCTGCACCGCCCACTTCCTCCTCTTGGCCTCCTTCCGAGCCAGGGCTCCACGCCAGTGGGCTTCGAGTATAATGGCTGAAAGAGGTCACCACTGGCATTAGAAGGTGAGTGCAATCCCTTAAATACAAGAGCCTCTTCAAGAATGATTCACCCCCTCCACAAACACCTGGACGCCCGTGCAGCACTCTGCCAGCCCCCGAGATGGAAAGTGGGACGAGAGTCTTCAGTCTCTACCCAGAGGTGCCCAGAGGGACCCCTGAACCCGGGGGACAGGGGAGCAGAGAGAGCTGGGGCGTATCAAGGGAAACCCCAAAATCTTGCTGGGGGCCAGGTTCCCCAGGTCCTTTTGAGGGACCAGAGAGGCCCTTGATGGCACAGGTTAGCCTCGCCACTGCACTTGCCCTGTCTCTATCCCATGTATAGTCATCTACGTTAAAAATGGGGACATCCAAAAATTAGACTTCTGGCTCGTGTCCCAATTTTTAAATGCTTCTCAGATTTTTTTTCCCAGTTAATTATGAAACTCAAAGTGCTTTTCTTGTGTTCCTCACGGCAACACTGTTACAAAAACAACCAACAAATGTCTATCAACAGAACATTGTGGTACACTCGTATAGCACCAGGGGTCAGCAAACTGTGGCCCCTGGCACCGACTGCCCCGTTTGTAAATAAAGTTTTATTGCAACAAAAATGTCGCAAAAGAAAAATAGAAACAGTATAATTTTATGGGGTTCAAAACCTTCCCACCTAGAAGTATATTATTTCATGATGCATCCAGAGATCATAAAGTTGTAAAGAAAAAAAGGCAATAATAATGCCAAGTTCAGAAGAGTGGAGTGTGTGGAGGGAGGGGGTGATACAGAGAAGTGACCGGGAGGGGCAGCACAGTGGCTCCAAGAGCAGTCATGGTGTCCGTAACCTTAAAAACTGTTCTTTAAACATGCCTATGTTGTGAATCAAATAAGACATGTCCACTGAACAAGCAGAGGCTGCAGCATTATAATCTCTGCTCCACTTAGACAGCATATTAAAAAAGAGAGATTACTTTGCTGACAAAGGTCTGTATAGTCAAAGCTGTGGTTTTTCTAGTAGTCATGTACAGATATGAGCGTTGGACCATAAAAAAGACCGAGCACTGAATTGATGCTTTTGAACTGTGGTGCTGGAGAAGATTCTTGAGAGTTGCTCGGGCTGCATGGAGAGCAAACCAATCCATCCTAAAGGAAATCAGTCCTGAATATTCATTGGAAGGACTGTGGATGACAGGGAAATGGTGGGCCACGGCAAACTGGAGAGGTCCTGTCCAGGTCTTACCTGCTTGTCTTTTTCTCACGTACACTCTCCTTTCTAGGCAGCCTTTGTACGTGGCTTGGATTCTCGCAACTTAAAAGAAAACACAGCTTTTGGTGACATGGCTTTCAATTGTGCATCTTAGCAGCTGTGACCTTCAGAAGGGGTTATCAGCTGTGGCCCTGGGGGTGTGCAGGTAGAGCTGACAGAAGCAGCCTTGGGATGTGACAGGACCCTATTAAAATCAGAGCAGGGACTTCCCTGGTGGTCCAGTGGTTAAGAATCCACCCGCCAATGCAGAGGACACAGGTTCAATCCCTGACCAGGGAAGATTCCACGTGCCACGGGGCAGCTAAGCTCATGTGCAACTACTGAAGCCCACGCACCCCGGAGCCCATGCTCCACACAACAAAAGTCACCGCAGCAAGACGTCTGAGCACCGCAACGAGGAGTAGGCCCCGCTCGCCACAACTAGAGAGAGCCCGCATGCAGCCATGAAGACCCAGCGCAGCCAAACATAAATATAAATCAATTTCAAAAAATCAAGGCAGAGGAGAAAAACCGTACCTAATTGATGTTTACTAAATTCAAAGGCATCTTCAGTAGCAAACAGAGTTCTGGGGAAGCGAATGAATATTTTGGTTCTAGAAATTTAAAAAAAATCATTTCATTGTTCATCACTGTCTGTAGTGGGTTAAACAGTATCCCCTCCTCCAAATTCACATCCACTTAGATTCTCAGAATGTGCTTCTTATGAGAAATAGGGTCTTTGCAGATGTCATCAAGGTAAAAATTAAGATAAAACCACACTGAATTAGGGTGGACCCTAAATTCAGTGAGAGAGTTCTTAGAGAAAGACTCACAGAGAGACACAGGGAGAAGGCAGCTGGAAGTGGCACGGGAGGAGCCTCCCAGCGAGACTGCAGTCTCGCTGTCGACACCCTGCTGACACCTGGATTTTGGACTTCTCTCCTCCAGAACTGTGAGACAATAAATTTCCATTGTTTTAAGCCAACCAGCCTACGATTAATTTGTACTGCAGCCCTAGGAAACTGATTCACCATCTAAAACCCAAGTTACTTCCCTGAGCTTTAAACGTGATGACACAGAATACGGGTCCAAGTTTAAGAGAAGATCCCACCAGATGGCAAAGAGAAATCACAAATGTGTGTATGTTTCGTTGCCCAGTCGTGTCCGACTCTTTTTTGTGACCCCACGGACTGTAGCCCACCAGGGTCCTCTGTCCATGGGATTCTCCAGGCAAGAATACTGGAGTGGGTTGCCATTTCCTTCTCCAGGGACCAGGGGATCTTCCCGACCCAAGGATTGAACCCACGTCTCCTGCTTGGTCGTGGATTCTTTGCCAGTGAGCCACTCACGGCTCTCATATTGCCAGCCCATCCCCCTCCCCCAGCGCCACCACTTCAAGGGAAACTTCCCAAGGCAGCCACTGGGGGGCAGCATTGCATGGTGCCACAGGAACCCACCTTCTCATCGGAGGTTATGGATGGGGGCAGACACAACCTCTGACCCCCATGACCCACCTCCCTTCGGATGTGCTATGCCCAATTCCCCTCAGAAATCTGGTTTGGAAAAGTCACTGCCTCTTGGAGCAGGGCCCAGAATACAAGAGTAAAGGATGGGATGGGGCCAGGGTGGTCATAGAGGACTGTATACAAGTTGGCAGGGAAAGACCATTGGCGGATTCAAAGGCAGAGATCCCTGAGGCTTGAGTCTCTGCCACCTGAGAATGGACCCTCTGCATGCCCAGGCCCTGTCCTGTGCAATCAAGTTAACGCTGACCAAACAGAGCGGGCGGAAATCATCCTGGCTGGCCCCACTGAGTTCAGCCTCAGGCCTTCAGCATGTACGAGAGTCCTTCTGCTCACCGACAACGACAGCTCTACAGTAATGATACTCCAAGTTCCAGAACACCACCTTCTGGGAAGCCGGAGGAGCTTTCACATCACAGGAGTCCTAACGCCCGCTGAGAAGTCGGGCACACATTTGAGAAATGAAGGAGTCCAGGCACATAGAGATGAGGGGGCTCACGTGGCTCCCGTCCTCGCGTTGACACAGAGTTCATCCCAGCCCCCGATGCAGGTTAAGAACCCAGGGCTCCCTTATACTTAATCTCCAGTAGGTAGCAATGTAGCCTTTCTTGCCGTTTAGAGCTTGCAGCACTGGGTTTTATTATAAAAGAGCTCTGTCTGGTCTTTGTCCCCTTGCAGTGTCTCAGCTCCCCAAACCTGTGTGATTTCCCAAGTGATCAGAGCAACGGGGGCCTCTTTTGTTAACACTCTTTTGGTTTTTGCTCCTGAAATAGCTTCCAAGCGATACAGGTGAAATGGATGTCTTTTTAAAAATTTCTTTCCATTATGGTTTATTGCAGGATGTTGAATATAGTTCCCTCTGCTATACAGTAGGACCTTGCTGTTTATCGATTTAAAATATAGTTTTAGCTGCTAATCCCACACTCCTATTTTATCCCCCCAACCCCCTTTTCCCCTAGGTATTGTTTATTATTCATAACCAACCCCTTTCAACCACGCCATCACCTAACAAGTGATATTTGGAAAGCCCCTGAATAACCTAAGGATGGGAACTGGTCGCCAGGGAAACCAGTCTTGAAATTAGAGTTGCAAGTTATAGCCCCACCGCTTGCAAGGGGAGAGGGGCTGGAGGTGGAATGAATGACCCTTGGCCAATGATTTTATCAACCATGTCTACATAATGAAGCCTCCAGAAAACCCCCAAAGAATGCAATTTGGAGATCTTCTGGGGACACCTGGAAGAGCCTCCTCCCCCCTCCCACATACCTTGCCCTGTGTATCTCTGCTATCCTTGCTCCTGAGTTATATCCTTTTGTAATAAACTGGTAATCCAGTAAGTAAAATATTGGGTTGGTGAAACATTCAGGCTTTTCCATATGAAGTTACAGAAGAATCCTAATGAACTTTTTGACCAGCCCATTATTTTTCTCGATTCTTTGAACTGCTCTAGAATAATGAATCAAATCCAAGACGCGGGTCATGAGAACCTCCAGTGTATAGCTCGTTGGTCAGAAACTCAGGTGACAAACAAGACTTGTGATTGTCCTCTGAGGGGAGGACCGTGTTGGGGGACTGAGCCCCTCACCTGTGGGACCTGACACCCCCTCCAGGGAGCTGTCAGATGCAAGTTTCATTGCAGGACACCCAGCTAGCTGGTATGTGTGCTGGAGGGTTCTGAGTGTGAGTGAAGTGTTGAGAGTGGAGGAGACACACAGGAGAGTGTTTTCTTTACAAAACTGCAATTAAATTAGGTGGACGAAAGTATCTGCTTATAAATCTATGTAAACTCCTGAAGGATGAACCTCTAAGCTCAGGATGCAGACGAACGGATGCGTAAAACACTGTGACAGCGACTCCCGGGACGCTCACCTCCCTAACTTGTACTCCTCGGGTTTGTAGCCGATGTACTTGATCAGCCTCTCTACGCCCTCTCCTGGAGGCCCGCGCCAGTGCGGCCAGGTGTCGGGGCACAAGGACTTATACCTGGAGAGAGACAGGCACATTTAGAAATCACCCCCTGGAGGAGGAAATGGCAGCCCACCCCACTCTTCTCGCCTGGGAAGTCCCACGGACAGAGGAGCTACAAAGACCTGGACACAACTGAGCGCACACCCACACACTCACACACCTTCCACGAGCCGCCCTAGAGATCTGCTTTGCTCTTCTGGGCACGCCAACCACTCAGAGGAGACTTCACACCGAAGTCTCCTAGAAGCATCACTCCAGCCTCTGCCCCTGTCCTCACATGGCCTTCTCCCCTGTGTCTCTCTGTGAGTCTTTCTCTAAAAACACTCTCATTGGATTTAGGGTCCACCCTAATTCAGTGTGATTTCATCTCAATCTTTACCTTGACAACATCTGCAAAGACCTTACTTCTGATGAGAATCACATTCTGAGGATCTAAGTGGATGTCAGTTTGGGGCAGGAGGACATCAGAGGTTTATATTAGCAGGTGGATAAATCATTAAAATAGCAGTGAGGAAGGAGATTGTTACTTAATAAATGCATATAAACAGATATTATCAAGACACAAGGCTTCTGGGAGAAAATTAAGCAAGATCCTCGGTAGAGAAAGGGCTTCCCATGAGGCACTGGTGATAAAGAATCCGCTTGCCAGTGCAGGAGATGCAAGAAACTCAGGTTCTATCCCTGGGTCGGGAAGATCCCCTAGAGCAGGAAGAAGCAGCCCACTCTGGTGTTCTTGCCTGGTGAATCCTACGGACAGAGGAGCCTGGTGGGCTACAGTCCCTGGGGCGACAGAGAGTTGGACATGACTGAGCAACTGAGCACCACCATTGGCAGAGAAAAATCTGATATTAAATGAAGACTGAAAATAAACACCCAAAAGTGCTGAAATTTCAGAGTGTAGTATCTTGACTTACGTGGCATAATGCAAGGAATTAGATTTAAAGTGTAACCTATGCATTTGCTTTTTATAATTATGAAAAAGTTGTACTTCAAAGACTTCCCTGGCAGTCCAGTGGGTAAGACTCTGCACTTCCAGGGCAGGGGCGGGGGCGCATATTCGATCCCTGATCAGGGAACTAAGATCCCACCTGCTGTGAGGCATGGCCCAAAAAAAAAAAAAAAAGCTCAAGAGAAGTCAAATGTTAAGTTAAAATATGGAATTAACAATATTCAGCCATGTCAACCTACAAAAACAACCATTTTATTATGCTTCTCTTGAGAGGGTAAAAATGTGGTGTTCTCTTGGTAGCACACACAACAAGCTGCCCAACTGATGCACAAGCAGTTTGGGCCATGGTGGTGATGGTGGGTATTTCCATTTAATCCTTACCAAATCCTTGAGAACAAATCCCTGTATTGCACATGAGCAATTAGGTCCCAGTGGGAAGAGGAAGAATGGGGATTGCCACCCAAGAATCTGTGGCTCCAATGCCCACGTTCTTACCACTACTCCTATGTCTTAATTTTTTTTTAACACCTGTGTCTCATGACAGCCCATGAGGCCAAGGGGATTGCTCCCAGACTGACCCGCACTAAACCAGCAGCCGTGGGAAGACTTCCCCAGCCAAGTTCAGACTCCAGGGGTGTGTGGCCCACGACTGCCCTCTGGTGGCAAGTCTGTGCATTGGCCCTTGTACTTCCTAGATTCCAAAGAAGTACTGGCTTGGCCAAAAAGCTCATTCAGGTTGGCCAACCCAATACAGTAGTGGTTCAGTGAAATGAAGGGAAGGTGGTAAACCAAGTCAGCTTCCTAGTCTCTGGAATGCCATCACTGTCACAGCTACAGCAGGCAAGAACCAAACGAGTTCCCTGGGGGGATGACCTTTTATTCATCGCCACTCACTTCATCGGCTTAAGATCCACAAAACAAACTTTACCTTTGCAAGAAATACTCGTACTTCCGTCGGTAGGCGAAGCCGGCCCGTCTCACCCGCAGGTGCTCCATCAGCCCCAGGTACTTGACCTGATGCCTTATGAGGAAGTTGTCAAACTTGCCTTTGGAAACACAGAAAGAAAAAAGACCCCATGGGCGTGTTTCATCTAAGACAAGACCAGAGGCTACACGCTGACGATCTCTGGACTAGGTCTAGCCACAGATATGTCCTGTTAGGTTCTAAGTGTGTTTCTTTTCACGGGGGGTGGGGGTGAGGGTTAACAGGAAAATCTGAACTTCTGGTTTCTCTTGAAAAACCATGATGGGATTTCCCTGGTGGCCCAGGGGTTAGGATATCGCCTTCCAGGGCAGAGGGTGCAGATTCCATCCCTAGCCAGAGTCTTAAGATCCCACATGCCTTGTGGCCAAAAGAACCAATACAGAAAGAAAACCATATTGTAACAAATCCAGTGAAGATTTTTTTTTTTTAAATAGTCCATATAAAAAAAAAATCTTAAGAAAAACCATAAGATCTGGTCATTCAGGACCTAGACTCTCATATGGCAATAAGTGCCCCATAGACAGGCTGTGCCTGATACAATTTGCCGCAGTCCCCTCTATTTCCTATTGCCTGACAGTCAGCCTGCTTCCCTCATTTGCTCTTCCCGCCTGACTGCTGTAAGCCTTTGACTGCATGACCTTATTGTGAGAGCATGGTGCAGGCTCAGCAAATACCCAAAGCCTAGACAATCTGGAAAACTGTGCACTGGCTGGAAAGAAGCAGGGTGGCTTCCCCTCACTGCTGAGGTCTGCCCGGCTCAGCTGTGTTGGCCCTAAAACTGGCCAGGCTCTGAGCCATGCTCACACAGGACCACAAAAGTCACCTTCCTCCCTATTCATCTACCTTCTATTTCTTTAATATGTTTTTCTTTAAATATTCTTTTCTAAACATTAATTTATCTTTGGCTGTGCTAGGTCTTCACGTGTGGGCTGTGCTGTGTGGGCGTTTTCTTTAGTTGCAGTGAGCGGGGACCACTCTTCAGTTGCGGCGCACAGGCTTCGCTTTGCAGTGGCCTCTCTTGTTGCGGAGGACGGGCTCCAGGGCTCAGAGCCCCCCGGCTCCAGAGCGCAGGCTCCACGGATGTGGCCCACGGGCTTAGCTGCTCCGCGGCATGTGGGATCTTCCTGGATCTGGGATCAGACCTGTGTCTCCTGCGTCGGCACGTGGATTCTTTACCACTGAGCCACCAGGGAAGCCCCACTTACCTTGTGTTATTAAGTACCGATGACAAGCAGCAAGCCAGTGGTGGTTTTTAGGATTTTACCCCACTACCATCTTGGTTTTCCTCCTGGCCTCCCTTCCCTCAGCTCAGGATTCCAAACGATTCTCAACTCACTGGGCTCTTTCCTCTCGTTGGGCTTGATGCAACGGATGTACGAAGGTTCCTTGGAGATGAGAATTTCCAGAAGGCTGCTCAGGCTGTTTTTAAACTGAGTCCCCACCTGCAGGGAGAGAGAATGAGCTGACCACACAGCGTTGCTCCCCATGTATACAGAGAACACTGGCTCAGGGCCGAGACTGGTCCTTCAGACCCGAACTCTTGACAGGCTAGTTCTAGTGGGCTGGCCAAAAAGTTCATTCGGGGATGGTACCGCCAAACTGAAATGAACTTTTCTGGCCAAGCCAATACTTACTACCGGTAACGAGCTAACGAGCTATTTTGCCCATGAAGAGAAGGGTTTGGATGTTCTGGCCTGAGAAGCCCGAACTCCGTCTGGTCCAGCGGAGGCTGGACAAGCATTGTCCCAGTGAATATGAAGCGAGCACCTTGTAGGAGCCAGCATCACCAGCATCACTGAGCCAGTCACCTTCCACCACCTTCCCGTCTCCTTGTTACCAAGCATCCTTTATGAGACGCTCGTTACAGCAATTTCTTTCTTTGATGGATGGTATCTTCCTATAGACTGTAAACCCCACAAGAGGAGGAGGACCCCTATCTGTTTGACTGTTCCTGGATTCCCCTGTGCCCAGCACAGCACCTGACATGCAGTAGGTATTCAATGAATGTCTGCCAATGAACACACTGGTTGCTAACCTTGGAACATATGTATTTAGTAGGACCTGTTAGAGAGGAATACTTCCAGAAAAAGGAGTGGACAGCTTAAAAAATACAGTTAAGTAAAGTAATTGCACCCTTGGGTGATTTCTGCTACTTTTCCTTTTTTGCACAGGCACCCTCCCCGCCCCCCTGCCCAACCACACACACACACTCACCGTTGGTGCCCTTCTCCGGTTTTCTAGCTCGGCCACCAGGAAGCATTCCTTCAGTATTCTATTTTTGGACCTGCACAGCACCTGTAGGCACAGAGAAAGGACCACCACACTTGCTGCTTCAGAAATCACAAAGGGCTCTTCAGGAAAGTTCACATCAGCATGTACATAATGGACCAGAGCTGTTTGCCTTGGGAGCACATGAAAAAGAAGACAGAAAGGGGACTTCCCTGGTGGTCCAGTGGTTAAGACTCAGCACCTCCACTGCAGAAGGCGAGGGTTCAAGTTCCTGGGTGGGGAACTAGGATCCCTCATGCCATGTGTGGTACGGCCAAAAAATGAAAACAAAGATGATCTTGAATTGTCTGTTCTGGCCATGACATGCTGGAATTCTAATACAATACCTCAAAGAGAAAAATCCAGAAGGCCAAACCTCCCAAATCAGTATCCCGGAACCTTCAAAAATACACAGAGTTAAGTTTCAGACTTACTTCTTTCAAATGTCTGTAGAGGAGATCATTGTTCTTTTCCAAGAATCCTGTAAAACATTGAATAAAAAAAAAAAACCTGAATCAATGGCTTTGATTAAAAATATAATTCCATACTGATTGCAAAGGGAAATCTTAAAAATGATCTCTTAATTAAGAGTTTCACAGACTGGGTAATACTGACATTTGGGACTGGGTCATTCTTGTTCTTGGGCGGCTGTCTTGGGCACTGTTATCAAAACTAAAATTTTTGTTGTGATAAAAGATACATAATATAAAATTTACTATTTAAACTATTTATAAGTGTGCAGTTCAGTAGCATTTCATGAATTTACATTGTTGCACAACCATCACAGCCAACCATCTCCAAAACTCCTTTCTTTTTCCCCCAGTGGAAATTCTGTACAGGTTAAACACTAATTCCCCATTCCTTGCTTCATGAAACCCTTGATAACCACTGTTCTATTTCTGTCTTTATGGATTGGAGTGCATCCCTTACATAAGTGGAATCCTTTCATATTTGTCTTTTTCTGTCTGGCTTATTTCACTTAGCATCATGTTTTCACGGTTCATCCATGTTGTAGCAGGTGTCAGAATTTCTTGCCTTTTTAAGCCTGAAATATGTCCCATTGTAAGGACAGAGCACTTCTCACGTGTCCATTCATCCATCGATGCACACTTGGGTGCTTCCACCTTTTGGCTGCTATGAATAAAGCTCTGCGTACACGGGTGTACAGATACCTGTTCACACTCCTGCTTTCAGTTCTTTTCGGATATCTACCCAGAAGTGGGCAAAATGAACTTTTGATGACCTTAGCAAAGCCACTTCTGAAAAACTTATCCTAGGCATATAAGGAGCACAGACTGGCCAAATGAGATATACAAAGATCTCAAACACAGCACTGTTTACAAGAAACAAAGCTGGGAACAACCAGAGACCTTCAGACAGGTGACGGGACACAGCCCCATGGGGCGTGATTGTAGCTTTTCAGAAGAAATGTGGAGGAATCTGCCACTATGGACAGTAAATGCAGTCTGGAGGCAAAAGGCCTGGGTCTGACCTCCAGCTCTGCCACTTACTAGCTGAGTGACCTTGGGCAAGTTACTTAACATCTCTGACCGCAGTGTCTCATAGATTAAAAGGGAACCAATAATGCTACCCACATCCCTGAGTTCTGTGAGGTTTAAACAAGCGACAGAGGTAAAGCATTTGGGACAGGACCTGGTGCATAGAAAGCATTTAATGGATGTTATTAGCTGGAGTCCAAATGATCACCAATATCAATTAAATGTAAAATGCAAAGGAGATAATACAAAATAACAATCTGTGTTGTTTAGATGTGTATTTGTGTTATTTAGATGTGTGGGCATACACGTCCCCACGTATATAATTATATGCATAAGATATTTTTATTTTCCAGTTGGTTCTTGTGGTTACCTCAGGGAGAGACTAGGCATAAAAGGGCTTTTTAGTTCTGTACCTTTCTGTATTGTGAGCAATTTCTAGCCTTACATGTGTGTTGTTTAGTCACTAAGTCGTGTCCAACTCATTTTGACCCCATGGCACCCACCAGGCGCCTCTGTCCATGGGATTTCCCAGGCAAAAACACTGGAGTGGGTTGCCATTTCCTTCTTCAGATTTTCCTGACCCAGAGACTGAACCCTCATCTGCATTGGCAGGTAGATTTTTCTTTTTTACCACTGAGCCACCAAGGAAACCCTACATGTCTATTACTTTATTCTTTAAACAAAAATCAGTAGGTTATCTACTTAAAAGAGATTTGTCCTATTTAACTTTTTTTTTTTCCTTCTTGGGCTCCCTTGTGGCTCAGCTGGTAAAGAATCTGCCTGAAATGCAGGAGACCTGGGTTCAATCCCTGGGTTGGGAAGATCCCCTGGAGAAGGGAAAGGCTACCCACTCCAGTATTCTGGCCTGGAAAATTCCATGGACTGTATAGACCATGGGGTCACAAATAGTTGGACACGACTGAGTGACTTTCACTTTTCTTTTTATACCACTATATATTTAAGGGAAAAAACTCCCCTAATACATGGTATTCTGTAAAGCTTTTTAGTGAAATGAATTTATGTAGAAGTAAAAATTATCTAGAACCTAAAGCAGAGGTGAAAAAAGAAAATGTATGAAAAATGTCTTACAAAATGTTCACAGCAGCATTACTCATGAAAGCGAGAAAGTGGAAACCACCCCCATGCACATAACTGATGAAGGGATAAACAACATGTGGTGCAACCATGCAGTGGAATCTTATTTAGCAATTAAAAAATAGTAACAGCAGGGATGAACGGTGAAAACATTTATGCTAAGTAACAGAGAACAAAGTGGCCTTTATCAAAGTTAAGAACTTTTGGGCTTTGAAGGATGCCATCAAGATGGTGAAAAAGATAACACACAGATTGAAGAAAATACTTGCAAACCATCTCTCTGATAAGGGACTTGTAGCTAGAACATGAAGAACCATATGACTCAATACTAATAACAAAAACAATTTTAAAAACGGGTAAAGGATCTCAACAGACATTTCTCCCAGGAAGAAGTGCTAATGGCCACTAAGCACAAGGAAAAATGCTCCACACCACTAAGCATTAGGAAAATGCAAATCCAAACCACCACTTCACACCCGCTAGGATAGCTGGAATCAGAAGACAGACAATGCCAAGTGTTGATGAGGAAATAGGGAAACTGAGACCCCCTACACTGCTGGTAGGAAAGCAAAATGGTGTAGCCACTTTGGAAAACCAGTCTGGCAGGTACTCAAGAAATTAAGAATAAAGTTTTTTTTGTGTATGGTGTTAGAAAGTGTTCTAGTTTCATTCTTTTACAGGTGGTTGACCAGTTTTCCCAGCACCACTTGTTAAAAAGGTTGTCTTTTTTCCATTATATATCCTTGCCTCCTTTGTCGAAGATAAGGTGACCATAGGTTCATGGATTTATCTCTGGGCTTTCTATTCTGTTCCATTGATCTATATTTCTGTCTTTGTGCCAGTACCAAACTGTCTTGATGACTGTGGCTTTGTAGTATAGTCTGAAGTCAGGCAGGTTGATTCCTCCAGTTCCATTCTTCTTTCTCAAGATTACTTTGGCTATTCGAGGTTTTTTGTATTTCCATACAAATTGTGAAATTATTTTTTCTAGTTCTGTGAAAAATACCATTGGTAGTTTGATAGGGATTGCATTGAATCTATAGATTGCTTTGGGTAGTATAGCCATTTTGACAATATTGATTTGTCCAATCCATGAACACGGTATATTCTCCATCTGTTTGTGTCCTCTTTGATTTCTTTCATCAGTGTTTTATAGTTTTCTATGTATAGGTCTTTTGTTTCTTTAGGTAGATATACTCCTAAGTATTTTATTCTTTTTGTTGCAGTGGTGAATGGTATTGTTTCCTTAATTTCTCTTTCTGTTTTCTCATTGTTAGTGTATAGGAATGCAAGAGATTTCTGCGTGTTAATTTTATATCCTGCAACTTTATATCCTAGAGCTATTCGTTGATTAGCTCTAGTAATTTTCTGGTAGTAAGACCAGAAACTATAAAACTCCTAGAGGAGAACATAGGCAAAACACTCTGACATAAATCACAGCGGGATCCTCTATGACCCACCTCCCAGAATTTTAGAAACAAAAGCAAAAATAAACAAATGGGACCTAATGAAACTTAAAAGCTTTTGCACAACAAAGGAAACTATAAGCAAGGTGAAAAGACAGCCCTCAGATTGGGAGAAAATAATAGCAAACGAAGCAACAGACAAAGGATTAATCTCAAAAATATACAAGCAACTCCTCCAGCTCAACTCCAGAAAAATAAATGACCCAATCAAAAAATGGGCCAAAGAACTAAACAGACATTTCTCCAAGGAAGACATAGAGATGGCACAAAAACACATGAAAAGATGCTCAACATCACTCATTATCAGAGAAATGCAAATCAAAACCACAATGAGGTACCATTACACACCAGTCAGGATGGCTGCTATCCAAAAGTCTACAAGCAATAAATGCTGGAGAGGGTGTGGAGAAAAGGGAACCCTCTTACACTGTTGGTGGGAATGCAAATTAGTACAGCCACTATGGAAAACAGTGTGGAGATTTCTTAGAAAGCTGGAAATAGAACTGCCATATGACCCAGCAATCCCACTTCTGGGCATACACACCAAGGAAACCAGATCTGAAAGAGACACGTGCACCCCAATGTTCATCGCAGCACTGTTTATAATAGCCAGGACATGGAAGCAAGCTAGATGCCCATCAGCAGACGAATGGATGAGGAAGCTGTGGTACATACACACCATGGAATATTACTCAGCCATTAAAAAGAATTCATTTGAATCAGTTCTAATGAGATGGATGAAACTGGAGCCCATTATACAGAGCGAAGTAAGCCAGAAAGATAAAGAGCAATACAGTATACTAACACATATATATGGAATTTAGAAAGATGGTAACGATAACCCTATATGCAAAACAGAAAAAGAGACTCAGATGTATAGAACAGACTTGTGGACTCTGTGGGAGGAGGCGAGGGTGGGATGTTTCAAGAGAACAGCATCGAAACATGTATATTATCTAGGGTGAAACAGATCACCAGCCCAGGTGGGGTGCATGAGACAAGTGCTCGGACTTGGTGCACTGGGAAGACCCAGAGGGATAGGGCAGAGAGGGAGGTGGGAGGGGGGACCGGGATGGGGAATACATGTAAATCCATGGCTAATTCATTTCAATGTATGACAAAAACCACTGCAAAAAAAAAAAAAAAGAATAAAGTTATCACAGGATCCAGCAACTCCACACCCAGGTATTTACCCAAGAGAAAGGGTAACATACGACCACACAAAACCACAGTCATATTGACAGCAGCGTCATTCATAACAGCCCAAAAGTGGAAACCCAAACGCCCATCGGCTGATGAGTAAACAGACAAAATGCCGTGCAGTTGTACGGTGGAACATCATCTGGCAATTAGACAGGAACGACGATGTGGATGAACCTTGGAAACATTATTCTAAGGGAAGGAAGCCAGACACAAAAGCCCGCACGTTGCATATTCCATTTTTATGAAATGTCCAGAATAGCCAAATCTCCAGACAGAAAGTTGACTGGTTTGTTGCCCAGGGCTCTGGAAGATGGGCTAGGGGAAAATGTGGAGTGCCTGCTAACGTGTATAGGGGTTCTTTTTGGGGTGATGGGGTGATTCTAAAATAGAATGTGGTGACAGTTGCACAAATGCACAGTGGCTACACTAAACACTGTTCAATCGTACACTTTAAATGAGTGAAACAGAGGCTATGTGAATTATCTCCATAAAGTAGTTATATATAAAATTACTACATTTTATAATACTTTTAAAAATATTTTTCTCATGTGGAACATTTTTAAAGTCTTTATTGAATTTGTTACAATATTGCTTCTTTTTTTTTTTTTTAATATATATATGTTGCTTCTGTTTTACATTTTGGTTTTTTGGCTGCGATTCATGTGCAATCTTAGCTCCCCAACCATGCTTGCGTTTAAGGCATGGTTAGCCAGTGGACCACCAGGGAAGTACCCCAAATATTTCTGAAATGCCGTGATTGCAGTGGGGCTAGGGAACATTTGAGATGGATATGCAGCATGTTTAGAGTGGACTCGGGGGCACCTGCATGGCTGTGACCTGTGACCTTTACCCCACAGACACTCACCCCTGGTGCAGTATGTGACCTCTCCCGCGTAGTGGAAGAGCCGGAACTCCATCCAGCCAATCTTCTTTCTGCCCTTTGGACCCGCCAGCTTCCGGCTGTAGCAGGACAGAAACAGACGGGGGCTGAACCTTTCTACCTCACTGCGACAAAATGCACCAACGTATAAAGCACAAGACCTGTTTAGGATTGTGACGATTAGCTGAAGGTCAGCACTGAAATCTATTTCAACTATTTCTTCCCACCATGGACCGAGGTCTTGCTAACATTAGACCCTTCCTTCTCATGAGCACTGAGGGATGAAAAATGTACATGAGCCACACAAACACATTTATTTGTACAATCAAATAATGTTCATTTTTCTTGGTGAAGACTAAAAACTGATTTTACTACTTTACATTTGTATGACGTGGAGAGACTAAAATACTCACGAAATACTGTTTTTCAGATTCGGGTGATCTACAGTTTTTTACAACTGTTCTTGAAAAGCATATACAAGTATATTGATAGCACACATATCTGAACTGCACAGCTCAATGAATTTTTGCAAACCGAATTCTCCTGTGCAAATATCACCAGATCAAAAGACAGAACATTTCTAGTCCCTGAGAACCCCCCACCTTGAGCTCTCTCCAGGTACAATCTGACATCTAACAGAATAGGTTGTTTTTAACCTGGTTTTATACCCTAGGGAAATGGAACCATATAACGTGTACTTTTGTGTGTCTGATTTCTCTTGATTACATGTTTGTGTGATTTATCTGCGTCATTGCATGTATTTAGATTGTTCATTCTCCTGGCCATACCTTATCCCATCTGTAAAGATGTTACAGTTTATTTTTCCAATCTTTAAAAAGAAATGTATTTCTTTATTCTCGGCTGTGCTGGGTCTTTGTTGCTGCTCAGACATTTCTCTAGCTGCGGAGAACGGGACTACTCTCCGGCTGCAGCGCGTGGGCTCCAGGCTCCAGTAGCTGCAGTTCCCAGGCTCAGCACAGGCTCAAAAGTTGTGGTGCATGAGCTCAGCTGCTGCAAGGCAGGTGGGACCTTCCCGGACCAGCGATCAAACCTGTGTCTCCTGAACTGGGAGGCAGATTCCTTACCGCTGAGCCACCAGGGAAGTCCTATTTTTGCAATCTTGATTCATATACTTGTCCAATTCCATTCACTTATCCTTTCAATACTCTATAGGTTTGATAAAGCCACTACCGTATATTGAATATGTGCCATGGCCAGAAATTACACTAGGTGATTTATGTGATCATTTACAATGCTATATGGCAGGCATATTAATTATCCCATCTTATAGAAGGGGAAACTCAAACTCAGGAGTACTTACTGCTTGCCCAAAGTCACATGTCTATTAAGAGTCTGGGCTGGGATTCAAATCCAGGTCCCTATGACTCCAGAGCACATGCCCTTAAATTCGCTCCTCCTCGTCTCAGAGTGTGTTACATTTCTAGTTGACTTTCTGGGACTCTGTAAATGCTCTGTGTCTTCATCTGTGGGGTGGCGATGTGAGTACACACACATGTAATAATTCACCAGGTTGCACACTTCAGATTTACACACATCACTGCATGTGTTTTACACTTGATTTTTTTTGACTATCTCATGCATGTGGACATGCCCAAAATGAAAGGATGATAGATAAAGACACAAAATCTTAAAAAAAGAATTCTACTTGGAATTCACATGAGCTTGACTCCTACCAATGAAAGCTGTGCAGCTGGTGTATCATCACGCTGCTTCTATGTATGAGCTAGTAGCTAGGGGCTTCCCTGGAAGTCCCGTGGTTAAGACTCTGAGCTCAATGCAGAGGGCATGGGTTAGATCTCTGGTTGGGGAACTAAGATGCTGCACAGCCCAGCCAAAACCAAATTAGTAGCAGCTATACTACTGGGGAGCTATGCTAAGGGGGCTTCCCTTGTGGCTCAGCTGGTAAAGAATCCACCTGCAATGCAGAAGACCTGGGTTTGATCCCTGGGTTGGGAAGATCCCCTGGAGAAGTGAAAGAATACCCACTCCAGTATTCTGGCCTAGAGAATTCCATGGACTGTATAGTCCATGGGGTCGCAAAGAGCAGGACATGACTGAGCAAAATTCACTTTCACTTTCATACTACTGGGGAGAACTGTCCACATACCTAAGAAAATGGATGTACAGTTGACCCTTGAACAACATGGGGCTTAGGGATTCCACACAGTCAACAAATTGTGTGTAACTCATAGTTGGCCTTCTGTATCCATGGATTCGACCAACAGGGGATGGGGTCACATAGTACTATAGCATTTACTATTGGGAAAAAAAAAAAAAAAAACCATGTATGAGTGGATCTGTACAGTTCAAGCCAGTATTGTTCAAAGGTCAACTATACAGGGGGCTTCACTGGTGGTCCAGTGGCTCAGGCTCCATGCTTCTAGTGGAGGAGACCCAGGCTCAATCCCTGGTCCAGGAACGAGATCCCACAGGCCGTAACAGAAGAGTTTGCATGCTGCAACTAAAGATTCTGTATGCCATGACTAAGACCCAGCGCAGCCATATATATATATATATACAGCTATATATACATATATATATACACACATATGTGGATTCACACATATATATACACACACACTAGAAGTCAACTATACAACTACATGACTGTCCCCATGCAACAGCCTGGCAAATGAGACCCCTACGTTTCAAAGTGTGCGTGCTTTCCCACTTTCTCCTCCAACCTCTCCAGGAAACTCAAGTCTGTAGCAGGACCAGGACGAATACATTCTTCATCCTTCAAAACAGAAACAGAAGTCTTGGGTCAGAGCACCACACTCCATCAATTCCAAGTTTAAATGCTCCCAGCAGCTGTGGCAAAATGCAGTGGATTGAAATATATCATCTGTGCACAAATCTGGGTCAACATTTCCAGGGGCAGGAAGGAGTAATCCATCTTATCAAATCTGTTTAGGGAACCGTGGAACCAGAGGGACTGGAAACTCCATGAAAAGTCAGCTCTCCCACCTATCTGACGTCTATTTCCAAAGACTTCCCAGGGACACTTCACAACTTCCATAACCAGCTGAGATGCTCAACTTCAATGTCTCTTAACCAGTCTTAGCCAGCTGGCCAACAACATACCCTCTTCAATGAGGAGCAAAGCTTTCAGGAAAAGCAAGCCATAAAACTAGTTAAGTCTAACCTTCTGCAGTTCACAAGCTGTTTTTACTTTCTGTTTTGGGTCCTCAACAGTGATAACATTTAATTAACCATCTTAAAAACAAAAATGAATCAAAAGAATTCCATGGTGGTCCAGTGGCTAGAACTCTGTGCTTCCACTGCAGGGGGAGTGGGTTCAATCCCTGGTCAGGAAACTAAGATCCTCCAAGCCAAGTAGTATGGCTAAAAGACAGAAGCAGAGAATGTCTTCTACACCCACCACTTGCAGACCCATAACATGTAACATGACTGAGAAATAAAGCTTTTAAAAAATGAATCAAGATTGACATGAACATGCTACTATATTTAAAACAGATAACCAACAAAGACCTACTTAGAGCACAGGGAACTCTGCTCAGTATTCTGTAATAACCTAAATGGGGAAAGAATTTGAAAAAGAATAGATATATGTATATATGTAACTGAATCACTTTCTGTATACCTGAAACTAGCACTGCAGTCTAATATAAATTTTTTTTAATGAATCAACACTGTAGCTTTTATTAAAACAAATGAAAAAATACTGGGTTCAGGTTGGTAAGACAATTCTTACAAAGCAACATTTCTATGCTCTCTGAATCCACCTACGGCAAACCATAGATGAATTTGAATAAGAGGGGAAAGCTCAATCTAAAACTTGGAGTAAAAATTCAACAAAAGAGTTCAACTTGGATCCTTCAATAATCCAGTGGATTTCACTCTTAACTCTTTGTAACCCTGGGGAACAGATCTTCCGAGTATTGAGGATACCGTGGAATGGGCCCCAAGTCAACGTTAATTTTCTCACCAGAATGGAAATGATTCCTTTGTGTCTCTCTTCTACCAAATCACAGATGATCTTGTTGTTGAAATACTGAATTGGTTCCCACTAAAATGACAATGAGGAAAAGAATTCTCCAGGAAGGATTAAGGTTGAGCATCAAATATATTTCTTTTAAATTGATTGTCCAACTTTTATTTTCCAAATCTGATTTTTATCTCTAACAGTTCAAAAAGAATACTTGCTGAATATCAAAATAGTTTCCCAGGAAACAAGCAGAGAAAGAGTGAAAAAATAATTCTTAGTACTCATCAGGAAAAACCTCCAATGAAATGATATTTCTCATGGAAATGTCTTTTGCTTGGTTAAGAAATCAAATGAGGAGAAAACATTGAAACATTTACCTCTATACCTTCCATTTCATATTCTGCCTGTTCCGCTTTTAGGGTTCTCTCAATTAATAGTTGCTGGAGTTTCTCATTGCAGTAATTTATACAGAACTGTTCAAAACTGGAGGTGCAAAAGATTTAAGTAACTAAAGCTACATGAGTAGGCCAAGTTTTTTTAAAAAAAAATTGTATTTACTTATTTTTAAGGATGCCTTTTCCATACAGAAAACTGAAGTCCTTATTAAACAAATAATTTAATAAACTAATAAGAAGAGTCAAACTAAAAGACATTCGCATTTTTAATAGTTATTCTGGTTTAGAAAAGTTTTATGAGGCAGGGGCTATGCAAACCTTGAGAATTTCTAGAAACAGGAAAATGAATTCCAATAACATCAGAAATGCCATAAACCAGACTCAGACCTTAAAGGAAAACGAAGAACCAGTGGATCACAATGAACTCAAACAAACTCACCCATTCTTGTCGAAGACTTCAAACCCATAGATATCCAGCAATCCAATCACAGTTTTTCCAGTAAAGTCCTAGTCAAAGTAACACACAGCATTAATCATTGAGGTTGTTTACCTTGTAACACTCAATATCTGGCAACTGCCCCTGAATCTGGGATGTGGCTATAAATCTTATCTCTCCAACAATGGCTTTCAGAAGAAACAGGGTGGAGATAACTTTCCCATCCTGCCTCCTCCTGCCTGCAGCCTCCCTAGGTCCCATCCCAGCTTCCATATTCATCATCAGAGTAGACAGAGTGATCTTCCCTTTCTGATTCACTTCCTTGCTTCAGCCCTCCTCAGCCCCCCAAGCCCACATTCAGTCCAAAAAAGAGAGAGAGAGGAAGAGAAGAGGAAGGGAAAGAAAAAGAGAGATGGAGAGAGGGAGGGAGGGGAGGAAGAAGGGAGGAAGCTACTGACAGCAGGAAGATGTTCATCCAGGAGAGAAAGCAGGTATTTTGGACATCATTTTCAACAGAGGGCCAAGTGCTGTCAGGCAAGGATAGCTATTTTAAGAGAAAATGACTTTTCTTCTTAAGGGACACAATGTAGCATTCTGTATGATGTGCTGAGTCAATGTATCCAAATCCATCCTTTGCACATTTCCTCCATGAGTCTCACCGGATCCACGCACCCAGGTGCCCTCATGTCATGGCCTCAACTTCCAGCTTTGTGTCAACTCCCTTTTTAATTTAAAAAGGAAATATACCCTTAGGGTGAGTTCAAAGGAGCTGCCTTGTTTTTTTTCTTATACACATTAAAATATACTACTGTTAAAAAAATGAAAAGGTTCTGTATACACTTCAAATGCTGTGCATCCCAGACTTCGGGACATACTGACAACATCATTTGTCCGTGCATTTTTGTGAGCTTACTGTGTGCTAGGGACTGGAAATGTAGACATGAAAAGACAGTATCTCTGCCCACCAGGAGCTTACACTCAATTATCACAAAGTCTTTAAAGATGTTGGTTTTAAAACATGGCCATGTTAAAAAGCCCAAGGAACCCAATGTGCGTGGACCAACCTTGTTCACTAAGGAGGAATTGATTTTGTTGACGAGCCAAGTAAACGTTCGCCCATAAACAGCCTTTGCCATTGCGTCTCTAGCACAGGCAGAGAGCTCCAGTGTCAGTGGGCAGATCACCTGAGAAGAACAACAGGTACTTCATTACAGAGGTTAAAAAATTTAAAAAGCCCCCAGAGTTTTCAACCCAGGCTTTAAAGATGACTGGGGGAGGAGGGCGGTCTTCCCTGATGGTCCAGGGGCTAAGACTGGGCTCCCAATGCAGGGGACCCAGGTTCAATCCCTGGTCAGGGAACTAGATCCCACGTGCCACAATGAAGGCCTGGCACAGCCAAATAAATAAAGTAAAGATGACTAGAGAAGGATACTTGATGGGGGAAGAACCTCCCACCTGTGCTGTTTCTTGAGTGCCGGGCACTGTGCTGAGATACAGCCTCAACCAAGACAAACAGCTTCAGCCTCTGTGGGCTCATATTTGGCAGAAGGCATTCAACAAGCCAGGGCTTCCCAGGTGACACTACTGGTAAAGAACCTGCCTACCAATGCCGTAGACATAAGAGACGCAGGCTCGACCCCTGGGTAGGGAAGATCTCCTGGAGGAGGGCATGGCAGCCCACTCCAGTATTCTTGCCTGGAGTCTCCCATGGACAGAGGACCCTGGTGGGCTTACAGTCCATGGGGTTGCAAAGAGTCGGACATGACTGAATGACTGAGCGCGGCACAGCATTCAACAAGTCACACAAAGAAGCATCCCATAGTTCTGAAGCTGAGAGTGACCAGCGCTATAAGGAGATACACATGCTGCTTTAGGGCAGGCGTGGGATGAGCAGGGGAGGGGCTTTGAGGAGTGATCCCTAGGAACTGAAGGATGGGGAGGCTTTAACTAGGTGAAACACAGGGAAGGGTGTTTCAGCAGAGGGAACAGTATACGCAAAGACCCCATGGAGGGAAGGCAGGGAGGGCGTGAAGCACCGAGAGCTCGTGATGGTGGGATGTCGGGGGATTGGGGAGGTTAAGGCTGGAGAGGCTGACAGAAGCTGGACCACACAGGACCTGGTGGGCAGGATTCAGGAGTCTGGCCTCCCCTGGGGCCACCAACCTACTGGCAGCAGCAGCAGGGAGGGTGGGCACATTTCCCCCCAGAGCCATTTTTACCTCCTCCGTTTTGGCTTCAATTTTTCTATGGGTGAGAGCTTCCAGAAGGACCCATGGGTGGACCCCTAGGAGCTGAATAAATGGAAAATAAAATGCCATTCAGCAACCCAACTTGACTCCCGAGGAAAAAGTGAGTGGTGTCTCCAGGCCCAGATTCACCTTTTCCTCCTGCTAATCGTGTTCTGGGGCAACACAGACCACATCTGTGCAACATAGACCATATCTGTGCAAAGCACAGCCCATGTTTGGTCTTTCAACTGACTGGCTTTTACTCACTCCCTTGCCCACCTGCTAACCAGTGTCAAGTGCGAGAGCAAGATGGCAGCCCTCTGGGACATGGGCACCCAGCTGCCTTGCTCCCCTCCCCCGCCCCTCCATCTCTGACAGGGTCTGGGGCCTCTCCTGCTCGCCCACCCCCACTCTCCCAAAGTGGACCATCACCTTGGCGATCCATTTGATCTCGTGAGTGTCTGGTACAGAGGCACAGCCTTGCTGGTTCTCTTCAAAACAAATGTTCCCCAGGTGCAGGACACTGGCAATAATTCCAAAGAGATTCTAGGAACGTGGGAAGTGGTGAGGAGGGCAGGGAGAGAAGACTGTGGCCGCCTGATTGATAAACATCATCAGAGGTGTACCCGGGGGAGAACCACCCCCCCACCCCTAACTCCAGACTGGAGATCACAGAGCCTTCCCTAGAAATTGGCCCTGTGGGCTCTTATCCACTTCTGATATTAAGGGAAGGGGGAAGGAACCTCAGTGGAGGGCAGGATGCTCCCTCACTTATGTCCAGCGTGGAACACTACTATTCTGGTACCTCCCTTTGTCCCCTGACTATAAGCCATCCAGTGTTCAAATGCCATGGCCCCAGATACACACACACATGTAAATTTTTTAAATATTATATCCTGGTCCTTGAAAGGTCAACAGTTTCACAATCCCCCCTCACCCCCCCCAAAAAAGACAAAAAGATGTAAAAACAAAATGTTTATAAATCCTACAATTTGGTCCAACTTGTTCCAATATAAAATAAATGATAAATAAATAAATAAATGATATTCCTAGCACTCTAGAGGATTAAATATTTGAGACTGGGTTTGAGAGGAAGAAGAAACACGACTCCCTGCTGGCACCCAATACTGGGAAAACTTGGATCTGCTGGATAAAATGCAGAATGCCCAACTAAAGTTCAAATTTCAAATAAGCAATGTCTAGTGCTTAATTCTTTATAGTTAAAAAATTTTTATTGGAGTAATGATGCTTTACAATGTTGTGTTAGTAAGCAATGTCTAATTTTTTTTTTAGCATGAAGCTTGCCCCACACAATGTTGGGACATACTTCTACTAAAAAACTAGCCAGTGTTTATCTGAAATTCAGTGTTCCTAGGTATCCTGTATCTTTATTTGCTCACTCTGGCAACTCTGTGGCATCACCAGGAAACCAGGATGGTTTCCCCAACCCCAGGCCCGACCACAAGGAGCTTCACCCTTGAGGGGCTCATACCTCAAGATCATCTTTAGTAAAATCGATGACAGAAAAGGCATTGGAAACAGTTTTCCAGTCATTCTTGTCATTAACACATGGCTCTTTGGCACAGCGACCCTGTTGACACAGAATTGGGCTGCTTAACAGCACTTTTATAAGGACAGTCAGGTGTCAAAAGTTTTCTCTGCAAGCATTAAAAAGCTAGTTCTATGAAGTTTTGAGCTGTGGAAAAAATAGGTTTTATTCTACTTGTCTATCACCTGATGATTTGCCAACGGCAGCTTTTTTCAAATTCCGAATTTTGTTTAAAAACCTGTTCTGAGAAAACTTTCAAAGATACATATCAGTGGTATATCTTTTTGTGTGTATGTTTTTTTAAGTAGGCTTCCTTGCCATTTTTGCTGAGTAAATTGAAGACATTTATCTCAGTAGATATATACTAAAACATACAGTAAATAACAATGTTTAAATTCAAGAAAACTACCTTGATGCACTTAATAACCAACATCAAAAACTTCAAGGTAGGATTAGATAGAAGGAGACCTTCCCTGAAGGAAATAAAAGTTTGGTATCTAGAGAAATACAGATGATACAGGAGGTGTGAAAAGGCTTTTCCCACTAAGTCTAGAAGTTGTCTTTTAAATAAGTAACAGACTACCAGTGTTACAATTTAAAGGGAAAATCTTCTAGATGAGGGTTTTTTAAATTATTATTTTGCTTTTGTAGTACAGATTTTTCCCGATTACCTGAAGATTCATCATTTTAAAAGAGTTCCTTGTTGCATGGTGAAAACAAAGATGTGGTACCATGAAAATACTCACCAGTGAATGGGGATGTCAAATCTTCAACCTCCCAAATATCCCTCCCACACAACCAGCACCACGGACTCCCTCCCGTTCAAAGACAGGGCTAGTTTAAGTCAGACCTTAAAGAACACCTAGAGGTTTGGAAACAGTGCAAATATACTGCAAAGCACGGGCCAAAGTCACAGAAGATCATGAGATCAATCAAAATAATACTGGTGAATTGCTTGAGCCATTTCCAAAGGCACTGTGGCATCAGGATCCAGTAATATGGCCATAAGGAAGTTACTGAACATCCCACAGAACCAACCTCCCCCCCCCCCCCCACCACCAAAGGGGCACCAGAGACAAGTTATGGTCCTTCCAACCTGTGAGAGGTATTTATACAGCTGGGGGTCTCGCTCCAGTCCCAGGTAAGCAAGGAGCTCCTCTTCTCCACCCTCCAGCAGCTGGTAGAAGATGTGGAAATTCCGCTCGCCCTGATTCTGATAGACGACTCGAGACTTTTCTATCAGGTAACTGATGATATGCCCACCTACAGGAATGCCCTTCAAAAGAGAACAAAAATCCAGCCAAGACAACAATCAAGGCCACTCTCTTACTGGTGTCTCCTGGTGAACTGAAATTGTGAGTCTGAATCAACCTAGTCTATCCCTCTTCTAAGAGTCACGTTTTCTGGGTTCCATTCCTAACCCCCCCAAGGTGATAAAGATATTTTCTGTTTTCATTTAGGATAAATTGTTTTACCATCCATGTTTATCATGATGACTATGATCCATCATGATTTAAGTTTTGTATATATGGAGTGAAACAGAGGCCAAAGTTCTCTTTATCCTTATGGATTTCCAGTTGACCACCACTTATTGGAAAGACAATTTTATTGATACTGAATCTCAGTGGAGCTTTGGCCATAAGTCTGGTGACCATATAGGTAAGCAAAGCCAGGGCATTTCTAGCCTCTGTTCTGGGCCATCAGCCTCTTAATATCAATATATTCTTATGCCAATATTAATTATTATTGTCTTAATTATTGTTTTAAATAATACATTCAATGAAGGATTTGTATTCCATGACATATATTGAACACTCACCAATCAATGAGAAATAATTACCCAGTTAAAAATGAGCAAAAGACTTTAATATACTACAAGAGGGTCTTTCAGGAACCAATGAGCAAAACTTCATTAAAATTGAGGGAGGTACAAATTTAAACTATAGTGAGAAACCACTATCTGCCACCAGAATGCCTAAGATTTAAAGGACTGACAATACCAAATGTTGGCAAGATCGTGGAAAAACTGGAACTCTCAGTTATAACATTGCTGGTAAGAATCCAGCAATGCAACTTCTGGGTATACACCCAGCATAAATGAGTGCTTGTATCTACTGAAAGAGGTACAAGAATGTTCAGAGCACTGCTTGCAATAGCTAGCCCCAGACTGGAAACAACCAAATGTCCACCACAGGAGAACAGATTAACAGTGATAAAAGTTGAGCAATCAAAAAATGAACAACTCCATACAGCAACACAGTTGAATCTTACAAGACATGCTGATTCAGAGAGGCCAAACATGAAATAGAACAACTATATAATTCCATTTTTTCTGAAGCTCAAGAGCCAGCAAAATGAATCTGTGATTATAGATGCCAGCACAGTGATAACTTTTGGGAAGCAGGGGGCAGCTATTTGTCAGAGATGGGTAGGAGAAATTTCAAACTGTTGGAAATGTTAATATCTTGAGATGAGTGGTGGTTACACAGGTAGATTCAAATGGAAAAATTTATTGAGCTGTGGCCATGAGCTGTGTCCTTTTTAGCATGTGTTGGATGCTAAAAAAAGCTTAAAAATATGTATGCTATTAAAATTTTTTCAAAGTCTGATCATGCATGACCAGAAACCCATGTTTCAGCCTCTGGGAAACCCTTAATCAGTCTGTCTTCATCACTGTATAAACGCTCAGCCAGCTACTGTTCTCTAACCTAAGGTGTCACTTGGAATTATATGTCCCTGAGAACTCTGCCTACCCCTCCTACTTGCATGAGCCCCCATTTAAACTCTGTGTACAATACATTATATATCTTCTCTGGCTACTTTCATGCTACAACAGTGGAGCTGAGTAGCTGGGACAGAGGCTGTACAGTCCACAAAGCCTAAAATATTTACTATCTGACCCTATCCATGTAAGTTTGTCAACTCATGTCATATAATCACGTATGCCTAAGTAAATAGATTATTTACTCTGGAATGTTTTCAAGCTTTGTAAGAAATGGCATCTCGCTGACACCGCGTACATTCTCATGACCTGTCTAGGTTGCATGCAGCTGGTGCTGACATGCTCTCGCTGCCATAAAACGCCTCCTCGTGTGAGATCCCACAATTGGGCCCTTTTCCTGCTGACGGGCATTCAGTCCTGGCCAGATGTGTTGGTTCTTTCCAGTCCCTTTACCTTCATGAGCAGTGCTGTTGAGGCCATGCTTACACATCTGTAGGAATATTTCCAGGAGTGGAATGGCTCCACCTTAGATTATGTGATTTCAGCACCCCAAGATGATACACTGTTTTCCAAATGGGTTTGACCAAATACACCCCTTGCACCAGCTATGTGTTGGAATTCCTCATGATTCACATCTTTGCCAACACCTGGTATCACCATACTTCTTCATTTTTGCCCACATACTAATATGCTATGTCATTATGGTCTTTATTGGCATTTCCTAAAACTATTGCTAACCCTAGATTTTTCAACTATTTGAGCCAAGAAGAAAACCCTTCCTCTCTTAAGGTGCCTTGAGTTGATTTTCTGTTGCTCTCAAGTTAAGGGGTCCCCAGGAAGCAGTAATAGGAACGTCAGTGTACCTTAAAGTCAAACTGTATGTCCATGTATTTTCCAAATCTGCTGGAGTTGTCATTCCGGAGTGTTTTGGCATTTCCAAAAGCCTTGGAATACAAAGGGAGGGGACACTGAACCCATCTGTCATTCGTTGACATTGAAGCTCTCCTGTTCATAGAATTCCTGACCTCATTGGAGGAGAGAAGGGGGAGCCAGGAATGGAAGCCACACTTTATCTGCTAAGAAGAAATCACTATTTACAGAGCATTTGATGCCAAATATTGAGGTTGGACCCAGAGAAAAGAAAGGAAAAACATCTTCTCTCTAGAATCCACTCTAGGAGTAGATTAGAAAGGGCCGAAGGAGAGGCTGGGGCTTCCCAGATGGCTTAATCTGCCTGCAAAGCAGGAGTCGCAGGAGATGCAGGTTCGGTCCCTAAGTCTGGAAGATCCTCTGGAGGAGGGCACGGCAACCCACTCCAGTATTCTTGCCTGGAGAATCCCATGGACAGAGGAGACTGGTGGGTTGCAAAGAGTTGGACACTACTGTAGTGACTCAGCACGCACGCAAGGAGAGCTAGATAGGACCCTAGGCCCTGGCTGTTCTAGAAGGCATCACTGCTGGCCCCCATCAGCAGACATCTTCCTTTAGTATAGATGTAAACTGTTCAGCCCAAAGGTCTACTGGGAAAATCCCTTCAACCATAAATGCCTTTTACACAAAGAGCAACAAAAACACAGGAGAAAATAATATATTCAAAATCATCAACAGGTCAGAGAATTGCAGTAGTAAAAATAATAATCAAGATTATTTTAATCAATAAAAATATTAATGAATAATACAGTATTATTTTAGTGCTCACTAATTCTGCTGTGTGCTTTTTATGCATGGTAGTTTAGTCACTAAGTCGTGTCCGACTCTTGCGACCCCATGGACGGTAGCCTGCCAGGCTCCTCTGTCCGTGGGATTCTCCAGGCAGCTACTGGAGTGGGTTGCCATTCCCTTCTTCATTGGATCTTCCTGACCCAGGGATCAAACCTGGGTCTCCTGCACTGCAGTCGGATTCTTTACTGAGCTACGAGAGAATCACATTTTTTTTTTTATTCATCTTGTTTTTTATGCATTCATATTGTTTAATCCTCAAAACCTCCTAAGAGGCAGGTACTGTGAGTAGATCCACTTTCCAGGTGGGGAACTGGCTCCAGGATATGAATGATATGCAGAAGCTTGCTGGTACGTGAGCGTCCTGGGATTAGCCTCCATGCCTGTTGGACTTCAAGGTCACACCCTTCACCACGATACAGTAAGTCCCCTACATACAAACAAGTTCTGTTCTGAAAGCATGTTTGTAAGCCCAACAAGGTTAGCCTAGGTACCCAATTAACACAATGAACTACATATTAATAGTATAGTAAGTCCCCTATATATGAACCTTCGAGGTGTGAGCTTTCAAAGATGCAAACACGCGCTTGCATGTCCAGTCATGTAAGTGAGTGCAGCCTGCCCTCCATCTCCGGTTACTGATGAACCTTCAGCTCTACCATGTCCTACCTCCTCTCCCCACTTCCAGGCAGTCACTCTTCCTGCCTGTCCACTCGATGCCAGCCCCTGGATGCCAGCTGCTGTTCCATACCACTGCACTTTTCAAGGTACTGTACTATAAGACTAAAAATGTTTATTTGTTTATGTATTATCTGTGTGAAAAGCATTATAAGCCTATTACAGCACAGTACTGTATAGCTGATTGTGTTAGTTGGGTACTTGGCTAACTCTGTTGGACTTATAAACAAATTGGACTTACAAGCGCTCTATCAGAATGCAATTTGTTCGTGTGTAAGGAACCGATTGTACTGCCCATGTGATCTGTTCTCTTCTTAACTCCCAGACCTGCCCATTTTGACCGACCCACCTGAGCAGAGGCTCTTCTTCCTAAGTGACCTCCCTGGAAGTCCCCTTTCTAGGTCCTTAAAGATCACTTACCTCCAACACTGGGTTGGAGAACAGCAGTCGGTCACGGGCTCTCTGCAGTGACTCGGTCATCGGGCAGGTCACTGCAAAATACTGGAGGATCTTCTTGGAGGCCTCTGTTTTCCCTGCCCCGCTCTCTCCAGAAATGAGGATGAAGTGGTTATTTAGCTCCGAGCACATCATGCGGTAAGCGTTGTCAGCTATGGCATAGCTGGAGAAGGAGTGAGACAGAAACAGCAGGAGTAGGGCCTTCCCTAGCGGTCCAGTGGCTAAGACTCTGAGCTCCCAATGCAGGGGGCCCGGGTTTGATCCTTGGCCAGGGAACTAGATCCCACATGCCACAACTAACAGTTCATAGGCTGCAACTAAAGATCCCATGTTGCTGCAATAAAGACCAGTGCAGGCAAACAAATTTTTTTTTTTTTTAAAGAAGGAGTGTAAGGTGACTATAACACTACTTCCCTTGGCTCTGATACCCATCAGAGCAGAAGGACAAACTACCTGGCCTCTCAGAAGCTACATCCAGACTGTGGTACCAGGCACTTAGCTCAGAGAGCTGGCAAACCTTCACCATTACCCACTAGATAGCAAACTTCTAATGTGTATTAGTCACCCAATCATGTCCGACTCTTTGCAACCCCATGCACTGCAGCCCGCCAGGCTCCTCTGTCCATGGGATTCTCCAGGCAAGAATACTGGAGTGGGTAGCCATTCCCTTCTCCAGGGGATCTTACCGACCCAGGAATGGAATCTGGGTCTCCTGCATTGCAGGCGGATTCTTTACCGTCTGAGCCACCAGGGAAACCCCCAAACTCTAACAGTAGAAAAGTTAAAGTGAAGACTTGGGGCAGGAATAAAAAATTTTCAGAATTTACCAATTAAAAAAAAATCAATCAACATTTCTCATAAGAATAATCTATGTACTAAATTACATCGCCAAGAGATGTTCTATTAAATGTAGCTGGAAATAACATCTTATCTAAGTATTAAATAATACAACAGATATAAGAGGGCTTCCCTGGTGGCTCAGAGGTAAAGAATCTGTCTGTCATGCAGATATAAGAGCTCATTTTTTTCCTTCAAAACCTAAAATACTAAATATATAGAGATAGGAAACAAAAAAAAAATTAAAAACTTCTGTTTTAAAAACAGAGCTTAGGGCACTATTATAGAGGCTTTATCTACAAGATCAGAAACTGAAGCATGAAGGTTTCCCGGGGTATACTCGTAGGATGTGGCCGTTTGAAAGCTGAGTATTTTTCTGTGATCGCTACTGGTGGTGAGGCAGAAAGATTTATAAACGCCTTGGGAGTGGAATAGTTGAATCACCAAGAAAAAGGAAGCAAGAACTTAATAGCCCAAAAATCAACCAAGGAGGAGAAGAGGGAAATTCAGCAAAGCCCCAGAGTAACATACAGACCAGGCAGAATATTGCTTTTCTTCCGGATCGCCAGTCCTGCTAAGTTCCTAGTCACCGGCCTTCTACTCAGCGGCCATGATAGTCAAGCGCCAGTAGGTGGCACTATAGCAACCCACTTCCCAGAGAAGGTAACTCTAGCGGCAGCAGTCATTCAAAGATTCCACCTTTCATCACAATTAAAATGAGATCTGATAATGATCTGCTGATGTTTTCCATTGTGTTGAAAGACTTATTTCAGAAGAAGGGAGTAATTTAAGTAAGGCACAGAACCTAATGAGCATGCAACAAGAATGTAGATGGATGGGTATATGAATGGATAGATGAGTGGGTGGATGGATGGATGGGTAGGTTGGGTAGGTGGGTAGATAGGTAGATGGATGGATGAATGGAGTGGATGACGGATGGGTGGATGGGTGTGTGGGTGGATGGATGGGTGTGTGGGTGAATGGATGGATGAGTAGACAAGTGGATGAATAGATCCATAGATGGATGGATGAATGGGGTGGATGTTGGTTGGATGGATGGATGGATGGATGGATGGGTGGGTGGGTGGATGTGTAGGTGGATGGGTGGATGCGTAGACTAGTGGATGGATGGACGGATAGGTGGGTGGGTATGTGGGTGAGTGGGTGGGTGGATGGATGGATAGTTAGATAGATAATGGGTGGATGGATGAATGGATGGATGAAGGGGTAGATGGGTGTGTGTGTGGGTGAATGGATGGATGAGTAGACAAGTGGATGGATGGATAGGTGGATGGATGGATAGTGGATGGATGGACAAGTGGTTGGATGATGGATGAATGGGGTGGATAATGGATGGGTGGATGGATGGGTAGGTGGGTGGGTAATAGGTGGACATATGTGGTGAAGGGAGAGAGGGGGGAGAAAGAGAGGCAGAAAGAGAAAAATACTTCTATTGCTGATTCCATGGGAGCTACTTACACATGTGGTGGCAGTTCAAAGAAGCTGACCCCTTGGTAAAGTTCCATCTGGCTCAGAGTATAGATTCCCAGCTCCTGGTATGGATTCACAGACACAAGGAGGGTCCCAATATATGTCTAGAGGGACAGACCAAAGCACTAGTGAGGAATTCCAGGGTGCAAATGGCTCTGGCCAAAGACCATCATGTGCTACGATCCCCATGTGCCCCTTCAGTACTGGGGATACAACACAATAAATAAGTCAGGTTGTGTTGTGGGGGTGGGGGGGGGGAGATGTCTCCACTGTCAGGAAACCTAGCTAGCATTGGCGGACAGACTAACAACCAAGTGATCAAGACTGCTCTGCTTATTGTGTTAAGAAAGGCCTGGTTCTGCTGGCAGCCACCTTGCCACTGTGCAGAGAGGCTGCCGCAGAAGGAAACTGATGCAAAAGAAAGCAGAGGGCTGGGAAAGAGTCCTCAAGACATCATCCTAGACCCTAGAGATCTACTTCTGGACCCTGAAGTTACATAGGTTGACAGATTCTCTCTCGGGGCTTAGACTGATTTTAGTTGGGTCTCCAGCATGGGCAGCCAGAGAGGTCTTAATACAAAGGATCACAGGGCATCTGACAGTGGTCCCTGGACACGCCCCCTCTGATGGTTAACCTAGAGTGATACTGTTCACAACCATCAGGACTAGAGACCGGGGGACTTCCCTGGGGGTCCAGGGGCTACGACTCCACCCTCCCCATGCAGGGGGCCCAGGTTTGATCCCTGGTCAAGGAACTAGATCCTACATGCTGTAACTAACATCCAGTGCAGCTAAACAAATTAAATAATTTTTTTTAAAAGGCCAAAGACCAGAAGGGAACCACCACTTAAGGGAAAACAGCTGAGAAATGAGTCACGGTACATAGATGAGATTCTCGCTGAAACGCTTGCGGAGGTTGTCCAGAAAAGCAGATTCGCTGGGTGCATCCAGCAGCACAAAATCCTGCACCCCGACCTTGTCCCGGGCGGCCAGCGCTCCTTCCATGTGCAGACGGGTGCGCTTGCGTCTCACTTCTTCTTTCTACGGAAGACACAACCTTCTCGGCAACTCACTTATCATGTCATTTTTATCGCATGTCTAGTATGGAAATAGCAAGATCCTAGATCCTGGGGACAGCTGAGAGCAGAGATTACATTATGCTTTCTTCATTCAGCATTTACGATCTGGTTAGGGATACAAGTAATGATAGAAGAAGCAGTAACTATAGCACCAGCAGCTGCTGCCAGGGACTCAGCATTCACTGCTTCAGCATGACACTAACCGTTTGACATGTGTTATCTCTATTGATCCTCATTCTGACCCTATGATGTGCTATTATCATGCCCTTTAGACTTCATCAAACATCAACCTTCCCATCAGAAGACACTGTTAAGAAATAAATCAGCCAGCCACAGGCTGGCAAAAAAAATGTTCATGAATTATATACCTGCAAAGAACTTGTATCTAGAGTAAAATACTCAGCTCGGTTAAAAGAAAAACAAAACCAAAAACTCAGACCTAACATAAACTGGGCAAAAGACTTGAATGGATTCTTCACAGGTGAAGACAGACAGACGGTCAATAAGCACATAAAAAAGTCCTCAACATCATTAGTCATCAGAGAAATGCACCCTTAGGATCACAATGAGGTGCCACCGGAAGAGTTCAAATGAAAAAGACGACATTGAATATTCGCGAGGATGTGAAACGATCGAATTTTCATACATTGCTGGCAGGAAGACCAACTGGCCGAATCACTGGGGAAAGGTCTGGCAGTTTCTAATGAAGTTAACCAAACCTCTACCCTTTGATGGCAGCAATTCCATTCCAAAGTATTTACACAAGAGGAATGTAGACATAGGTCCACAAAAAGACTGGAACATGAAGGTTTACATCAAGTTTATTCACGATGGCCGCAAACTGGAAACAATCCAAGTTCCCATCAGCCAGAGAACGGAAGTAGAACATCTATACAATAGAATGGGTACAGCAGTAAAAGAGAAGCGACAGGTGTGTACAAAGACACAGACGTTATGCCGAGGGAAAGAACTCAGACACAAAAGGCTGCATGCTGTATGATTCCATTTATATGACATTCTGAGACAAGCAAAACTAATCTACAGTGAAAATCACAACGGTTGCCTGGTTATGGGGGGTTGCCTGGCCGAGGACACTTCTGGAATGATAGAAACATCCTCTAACTTGGTGCAGCTATGGAGTTACATGGGTGTATCTATTTGTCAAGATAAATGGCTACAGTGTTGTGCATTTTGATACACATAAATTCTGTTTTGAAAAGAACCATAAAAATAATCAAATGGTGAGTGGAGGATCCAGAGTGGATGGAGGTGAAGAGGATAACAGAATGGCAGAATGCTCATAATTGTTGAAGCTGGGTGATGGGTATAGAAGGGATTTATTATTCTCTTCTGTGTATGTTGTTGTTATCCAGTCGTGTCCCTGACTCTCTGTGACCCCATGGACGGCAGCACGCCAGTGTGTGTATGTGAAATTTTCCATAATGAGAAGTTTTAAAAAACTGGATCACCACCAGGTGTCTCCCTACACTAGCTAAATGAAGCGAAAAGGCGTAATCATGGTAATAAGTAGTAATCAAAGGATAAAAATGATGCATTTAGATCAAATTATTTGGGGAGGATCCCTGGAGTAGGAAATGGTAATCTGCTCCAGTATTCTTGTCTGGGAAATCCCATGGACACAAAAGCCTGGTGGGCTACAGAGAGTCCATGGGGCCACAGAGAGTCAGATATGGCTAAGAGACTCAGTACACACACATTCTAGTAGATTACAAATATTCCCATTAAATTTTTTTTTTAAATAACAGAGGCATAGTGATAAGTATAGAAGGAGGAAAGGTAATGAAGAAATTCAAGCGTTTCAGCTTGACCAAAAAAAAAGGTGATTAAGAGACTTATCAGTTCAGTTCAGTTGTTCAGATTAAGAGACGTATCAGTTCAGGTTAGTCGCTCAGTCGTGTCCAACTCTTTGCGATCCCATGGCCTCCAGCACACCAGGCCTCCCTGTCCGTCACCAACTCCCGGAGCTTGCTCAAACTCATGTCCATCAAGTCGGTGATGCCATCCAACCATCTCATCCTCTGTTGTCCCCTTCTGTCTTATAAGAGACTTACATTTTACAAGTATAGCATAGAGATGAAAGATGCAAAGACTTTGGAACATGAGTCTGTCAGGTTCAAATCTCATCTCTGTTGCCCCCTGCATAGTATAATCCTGGGAAAGTCTTAGGCTTTCCAATCCCTTGTCTGTTTCCTGTCTGTAAAATGGAATCATAAGTGTAGCTACTTCACAGGATTATTGGTTTGAACAGGACCGTGGAAAGTTCTTGGAACAGTGCCAGAGACAATATCAGCTCTGTGAGTTTTTGCTTCCATCCTCATGACTATTAATAATTAGATTGTTAGAAACAAGCTCATAACAAAGCAAAAAAGAAATCTGTCGGTGAGTAGTCAACAAGTCCCATCTGAAACTGGGAGTGGGCTGGAGTCTGAAGATCCCCTGAAGGAGGAAACGGCAACCCACTCCAGGATTCTTGCCTGGAGAATCCCATGGACAGAGGCGACTGGTGGGCTACAGTCCATGTGGTCACAAAGAGTCGGATACGACTGAGCGTGCACACCCTTCATTCCTCATTGGAGTCTGAAGTAATCTCTAGAGTTGTACCCACAAATATTACAGCAGTCTGATCTCTGCATGTGGAGGGTTGCAGAGATTAACAAAGCTTCTTTCTTATTCCAGTCCTGGAGAGGGGAGTGGCAACACGCTTACTGGAGTGAGCCCAGCAGTCAGCCCCTGGGCCTTACGTGGCCCAAAGAGATTTGATAAAACCTCAGAGATTAAAGAATGTGACATTGATTTTAACTTGCAATGGCCAAAGCACAGTGCATCCATGTCAGCCTGGAGTTCCATCTGTTGCAGTATTCCACTACTAAAATCTGGATTTCTATTATCTAGTTTATTTCAAAATATCTTTAGAAGGACATGGACAAGCTAAAGGGTCCTAATGATATTGACAAGAATGGTCAGAGAGATGAATATTGGAGCAGGAGAAAGGGTAATGAAGAAATTGAAGGGTTTCATCTTGACCAAAGAGACTTTATCGTTAAGAAAACATTAATACCATAAACAACCAGACAAGAGGAAAATTAAAGAGTAAGAGATCTTTGCAATACTTAAGAAAGAATTCCATCTTTGGGGTGATAAAACTAGGAGATACTACTATGCAAACACAAAGAGCAGGGATCGTAAACTCTGCTACCTACAGGGCAGATACTGGGACTGAGTCAGGCTGTTGGTGGCAGGGACTCACTCAGACTAGCGAGTGAATGGCCATCTATGTGCAGCCACTGCTTGGAGTTAGCTGGTTGACACCAGGCAGGGATGTCCAGCTTGTGTGGCCAAACCATTCCAATTCTTCAAGAAAAGTTTTAAACATAGGATTTTATTGACAATTGCCCTGTAGAATCCCCCATATTCTGGATTTTGTGGATTGCATTCTTACGGAGTCATGTAACATGTTTCTCTCTCTCATGCATTTTCTGAAAACTGCTAGTTTGATCTAGAAGACTTATCAGATGCAGGACTGAGTCATTCAGGAAAAAAGATTTTATAGGCAGTACAGTGTATTTCCAATACAAGTACATAAGGTCTGGCTGATGTTTTAAGATGTCAGTGCTCTAATACACATGCCTAAATCCAGATTTTCTAAAGAGACTGCAAAGAATGGTAATATTCCAACTCTTTCACTTCTTTATTTATTAGCTGGAATCTTTCTACAAAGAGAAATTTTATCAAGTATTTGGTTGCCCCAAGGTCCAGTTTGGGGAGAAAAAAGGCAGGATAAATGCTTGCTTTGCCTATTTTCAGAATGAGCTGGTTCCATAGCATTTTTCAAAGGGGACCATGAGTTTTTAATATTATGAGACTGCAGGTTTAACTGTACCTGATATATTTCATTCATGGCAATTATTTATTCTTCAGTTCAGTTCAGTCATTCAGTCATGTCCAACTCTTTGCGACACCATGAATCGCAGCACGCCAGGCCTCCCTGTCTATCACCAACTCCTGGAGTTTACTCAAACTCATGCCCATCGAGTCGGTGATGCCATCCAACCATCTCATCCTCTGTCGTCACCTTCTCCTCCTGCCCCCAATCCCTCCCAGCATCACGGTCTTTTCCAATGAGTCAACCCTTTGCATGAGGTGGCCAAAGTATTGGAGTTTCAGCTTCAGCATCAGTCCTTCCAATGAACACCCAGGACTGATTTCCTTTAGGATGGACTGGTTGGATCTCCTTGCAGTCCAAGGGACTCTCAAGAGTCTTCTACAACACCACAGTTCAAAAGCACCAATTCTTTGGTGCTCAGCCTTCTTCACAGTCCAGCTCTCACATCCATACATGACCACTGGAAAAACCCATAGCCTTGAATAGACGGACCTTTGTTGGCAAAGTAATGTCTCTGCTTTTTAATATGCTATCTAGGTATGGGATGCTAAAACTGGCTTCCCTGATAGCTCAGTTGGTAAAGAATCTACCTGCAATGTGGAAGACCTGGGTTCAATTCCTGGGTTGGGAAGATCCCCTGGAGAAGGGAAAGGCTACCCACTCCAGTGTTCTGGCCTGGAGAATTCCATGGACTGCATAGTCCATGGAGTCGCAAAGTTGGACATGACTGAGCGACTTTCACTTCACATGCTAAAATTATCCCAATTTTGGACAGTGGGGGAACTTTTTAAGTGGGCTCTTGAGTCCTTTTGACATGACCTTAACAGTCTTCGATAGCTTTCCTTGCTTATCAAAATGTCAAGCTGCTTTTAGGTTTATTTTATATATTCCCAACCTAGACCTTGAATCTGCCCAAGGAGCTCCGATTTCTTTCAATGGGGACGTGGTAGATACCACAATCAGACACTAGGGGTGCTCACTGTCACTGGGTTGCTCACTGTTTCTAAAGCTTTTCGTTAGAG